GAATTCAGTGTAATTTTATATTTTTGTTTCTGATAAATTAAATAATGTGCTTTTAATTAATTAATTACCCTTAAAATATTGCAATTTATTCCTTAAAATATATAAATTCAAATTCAATAAAATAAAATAATCAATATTTAGTTTAAAAACCCTTTTCATATAATCAGGCGCCCCTGATTTTAAGATTGTGTGCAAGCAGCGTTCCTATTTCCTCCTTTGCTCTAGATGGCGCTGCTCATCCACTCCAAGTGTTGAAAAGATTTGATAAACTTGGGATTGTTTTTGCAAATAGGTTTGTTTTAGAGCGTTTCATTTCTACAGTTATGACTTTTCTACATTGTTTATAACTAATTATTTTTAATTTGTATATTTCATAAAAAAAGGAGGGTCTTGAAAAAGCTAAGAGATATTGATAGCCCATATTTCAAATACAATTTTTGTTTTTGTGTTTCATTTTCATAACAATTATTCTCACATGGCTGTGATTAAAATATAACCCATACTGTAGATATTTCTCAAGTAGCTGAATGTTATTTGTCAAAAATGAGAGTGCTTGCAATTTGCTAATTTTTTTAAACCTGTTTTCCAGCGCTGATGCAGCTTTGTTATGTCTAGCATCTGCCGCCTCAGAGTTTTACTAGCACATTTAGAGCCAGACTGACCCTTTTCACCTAAAGGTGGAAAATGGCAACGAAGGGGAAATTATTATTATTATTATTATTATTTATGCTTTGGTTAGGATACAAAGTAGGACATTTCCTCTACCAAGAAATCTTGCACCTCTTTAAAAGCAAAAAATCACATATTGACACTGTAAGATGGTATTTGCTGGTTTCAGAAGCTGTGGCGAAAATAACCTGCTTCACTTTAACTGAATAAAAAAAGTCTACTGCTTTTGCGAGTCAACTGAGGCAGTTTTATCCCTTTAAGTCCTGAAAGCAGTCAGACTGACAGTCTCCACAAAACACTCACAATTTAGGCTTTGCATTTAACCACATATGCACACACAGTAGTGAACGCACACACAAACACACACTTGGATCACAATAGGCCACAAAAGCACAAATGCTCTCAGAGTACTCTTAGTTAACAAGTGTTTTTGTAATATACTACAAATGTACTGCAAGTGTCCTTTTATAGTGTACATTTAGTTAACTAGTTTCTAATGTTTTACTGCATGTGTACGTATACGTAGCACATTTCTTTCAATAGGGATAGTTTGTTATTGAAGACGAGAAAGTGTATAATTTGTAGCAGCCATTTTGAAACAGCTGAGGTCACTATTAGGCATATTTTCTTCCTCAGAAATAGTATATTTGTGGTAAGTATACACTGATAATTTATTTGTAATGCACTTGTAACACAAAGAAAGTAAACTTTAATATCACTTATCAAGAATTTAATAATATTTTACTATACCTAAAGTATAGTAAGTATATTTCATTTGTTCCAATTTAGCACATAAAAGTACACTAGATACGGTAAAAGTATGAGTTACTTTAATATTTATAACATATTTTACATAGGCTGCATTTTACAGAAACAAATGTTTAGGTAGTAATTTATTATGTATTTATTTCACCAAATATGACATTCACATAAAGCCGTTTTGGAAACCCTGCTGCTTATTGTAAGCCTATGTTTATCTACATTAAATTTGGAAACAGTATCTGTCTGCATACTCAAAAGATCCTCGTAACAGACCTTTGTATGCAATCTTCAAGATTTAAAGTATACTGGAACTGCACATTCAATGCATTTAAGTGCACCTTTTCCACAAGGGCACAATCCCAAGTTTCAATTATAATGCTCGAGCAAATGACAATAAAAGCTAACTCATTTTTATTGGAGGGTGGTTCTCAAATGGGTAAAGTCTCAGATATAATGAAAGATGCTGATAGCTGCATGACATATCATGTTTAACAAAGTTCCTCAGTAATATAACTGATGTTAACTTTATCAGAACTGCCTGCTAGTTATCATGCTACTTCATGATTTGACAGGATAGCTCTCTTGCAAGGACAAAGAGGTAGTCACATTTGTCCAGCTAGAATTGACATGATTTGTGTTCATAAAATATACATTAAAATAGTTTTTCCACAGTCAGGTTTGTTAAAGCCATAACTTTGTCACCAATATAAAAAAAGTCAATCAGGTTTATATCAGGACTCTAGGCTGCCATTTCATTATTTTAATAATTTCATCTTCAAGGAACTGCTTTATCTGTTTTGCAGTGCGAACAAGTCAAAATTTCTGTCATTATTGCAGCCAACTTGCAAAGTCAGTGAAAACTGGAAGATTAGCTGCCAGTTAATCATGGTTTCTCAGGTAAGAAAATTACCACCAGGTGTAGATTAACACCAGTTATTTCAACTGGGAAGATCTCAAAGTGTTCTCTTATTCAAATCAGTTCTTTTGCAGATATCTCATTTAAGATTTTATACTGTGAATCAGAATACATGTAACTCATAAAACAGGCTTTAAAATTGACATTTTACACATTAATATCTTTAAATACGACAAAGCAATGACTTGATGAAATACAGGAAATTACAGCTTTATAGCGCAGCCCCTCAAATACTAATTAATATTCCTGATTCATAAAAGTAGAAATTTGATTTTAACATGTATTCTCATTCATTCATTCATTCATTTTCTTTTCGGCTTTGTACTTTTATTAATCAGGAGTCAATACCGCGGAATGAACCACCAACTTATCCAGCATATGTTTTACGCAGCAGATGCCCTTCCAGCCACAACCTATCACTGGGAAATGCCCATACACTCTCATTCACACTAAGCGGCAACCTCTCGCTCTTCCTCGGGAAGCCAATTTGGAAATAACTAAAACTGCAATTCATCGACTCCATCGACTCCAGAAATCCAGATGATTTCTGACTGCAATGGTAAATTGGCCAATTTTACAGCTTATAAAAACATGTTTACAGCCTGGTACAAAAGAAGACTTTGGTGCATATAGCTATGATTTCCATTTATGACAACTGTGAGAGGGGGGAATTTTTTATGAAACTCATCCGTTTCGTATTTATTAAGTTTTAATTAACAATTGGATGTGGCAAAAAAAAAAATTCAGCTAAACAAAGAGAAAACTGAAGTGATTGCATTTGGGAACAAAGATGAGGTTCTCAAGGTGAATGCGTACCTTGGCACTAAAGTCAAACAACAAAAAAATAAGGTCAAGAATCTTGGTGTGACTCTGGGGTCAGATCTGAGTTTCAATAATCATGTCAAAGCAGTCAGTAAATCAGCATACTATCATCTGAAAAACATTGCAAGAATCAGATGCTTTGTTTCCAGTGAAAACTTGTTCATGCTTTAATCAGCAGCAGGGGGGATTACTGTAACCACCTCCTTGCTGGCCTTCCCAAAAAAGACAGTCAGACAGTTACAGCTCATCCAGAACACTGCGGCCAGGATTCTGACCAGAAGCAAAAACTCAGAGCACATCACACCGGTCCTCAGGTTTTCACACTGGCTCCCAGTTACATTCAGAATAGATTTTAAAGTATTATTACTGGCCTATAAATCCCTAAATGGCCTAGGAATTTAACACATTACAGATATGCTCACTAAATACAAACCTAACAGATCACTCAGTTCTTTAGGATCATGTAAACTAGAAGTTCCAAGTGTTCAGTCAAAGCAGGGTGAATTTGCTTTTAGCTATTACACCCCTCACTGCTGGAATCAGCTTCCAGAAATGATCAGATGTGCACATTCAAATCAAGACTAAAAACACATTTTTAGCTGTGCCTTTTCTGAATGAGCACTGTGCTGAGTCCGACAGATCGCACTATTATGTTTTTCTCTTCTTTTTTATTCTATTATAAACTGTTTTAACATTTTTTTCAGTTTTTATTAGTTTTGAAAAAAAATAATTTTTATTATTTGTTTTTATTTTTCTTAAACTTGTCTCTTTTATTCCTGTTTATGTAAAGCTCTTTGAATTGCCACTGTGTAAGAAATGCCTTATTAAGTCTGCATAATTAAGGGCGTGGCCACTTGAGTGACAGTTAGGTCTCGCTAGTCGATGTTTAGTGGCTCAACTTATTAAAACAATGTTTTTAAAAGTCTACAAACTTCAGCACACAAACGCATTGCAGGTAATAAATTATTTTGCATTTCTTCCAAGAAAAAAGGCTGTCCAAGCAAAATGCTAGCAGGCGTCTGTAGCTCCGCTTACGATTTGCCTCTTTGCCCTTGATTGGTATCCCGCGATTGATGCGATGACTCACGAACAAAATGCAGACGGTTGGCTTAGCCTACGTGTAGCTTCTTTTGCATTATTCAGAAACCTATGGGTGACATTAGGGATACTACATACATATCTTTTACAGACTGTGGAACTGTTAAGGAATTCTCAGAAGTTATTTGTGTGAATGTCTACAATCATCTTTTGAAGTATATCAAAAAAGACAAGATTGGTGGTTGTTCAATAGTTTTAGGACAAGTTTTGATTAAAGTTATTGATACACTTCAAAATGTTTGCTACTGTACTCAATGTTTGAGTCCATAAATGCCTGGTATGTGGGAATGTGTGCGTTTGCATTCATTCAGTTCCCATCCAATGGCTCTTCTGTGTTTTTTTTTTCTGCTACAGGTCACAGTTCTGTCACAGCGGTGCTAATGACGTGTCCTCGCAGCTGCACTTCTCTCCTGCACCAGTCCACAAACACCTGAGACCAGCACTCTCTTTGATCGGGAAACATCTACCATTTATTCTGTCACTATGCGGAAATATTTCAAGACGTTCAGCCAGTTTTCATACTTTAGAGGTATAGTGCTACTGAGGAGAATTTCTGATATTCGGCCAAAATTGTGCCACAGAGATCCAGCCGAAAGAGAGTGAGAGAGGATTATACACACACACATCCTGAAGAACTGTTTTCACAGCTGCAGAAGAGCGATTATGGCAAGCCTTTTAACATGTCATCTATAAAATAAATTTGTATCTATTATATATATATATATATATATATATATATTCATTCATTCATTTTCTTGTCGGCTTAGTCCCTTTATTAATCCGGAGTTGCCACAGTGGAATGAACCGCCAACTTATCCAGCAAGTTTTTAAGCAGAAAAAAAAAATATATATATATATATTTATATATATATATTTATATATATAAATAACAGGGGTTACAGCAATGTCACGATAGCATTCATTAACATGTTAACGCAACCTGACCCATGACCCCCTAGCCATGGTTGCATTTAACTAATAAGCAGGAGTTTCTATGAATTATATAAAACAGTGTTTTTAATCACATTTTGTATGGTGAGAGTTAACTACATTCATGCAGATGTGTCTCCTGCTCCAATCTGGAGCAGTCCAACAGTCAAATCAGATGACGATTTAGTCAAGTGAAATACATTATATTTTTAGTTGTGAATTCATTTTAAGAAAACAAATTATTCGAAGTGCAGTGATTAGATTAAGTGCAAATGTAGAAAAGGAAATGTGATATAAAAAGACAGCAATAAATAAATAAATCAATAAATGAATATAATGTGATATAAAAAGACAGCAATAAATAGTGCATATTAGGGTTTAGGGCTCCCAAATCAGTGACTCCGCCCCTGTGCTTGCATATGCAGCATGGCTATTTACATAGCCGTAAATGCTATCTGTTACTGAATCCACTGCCTGAGGGCTGGATTTGTCAGTCGTTGAACCCCCACCCATGAGAACAAACCCCGCCTCCTCCGCTTGCGTATCTACTGTTAACGGAACAGAGTTGTTTAATGTTTACCATCGTCAGCTTAACTGAACTATCAGATCCGATAGCTTCTTCTGAGCGCCACACCATTAAACACAGACAAACGTGGAAGCTCTGCGAAATAACACAAGGTAACGAACTGAAATGTCTTTCTTTTGTTGTCGAAAGAGTAATAATGTATTTGGTATTATTTGGCTCCGCTAGCATCTACATCCTGCAACGGCGCAGGACTCTGACGTTAATCCTATTTTTCTCCTGCTATTTTTTTCGTTATAAACTTGTAATTACGACTGCGAGAGACAATGATACGCTAAGAATCTTAAGTATACGTAACTTATACTGGAGAGTTCAATGAAACACTATTAACCGCATATACACGGCTAATAAGGCTATGATTTTGATTGTGTTTCTGCATGACTCTGACAGTCTCATAGTCCGCTGTGTATTGCATAACTTCTGCCTCGCAGTGCCTGAAATTAATCTGAAATTAAGACTGTCACATGTATACACTTGTTCTTTACTTAAAATAATTATATTTAAATGATGTATTTCAGTATCAATTCTGCTACATTAATACTAACAATATTAGCAACGAAATACGAACAATTTATTATTATTCATATTTGTATTATAATAGATAATTGAATTTGCACAATTTGCTTAGTGTTTTAACTTTTAAAAAAGTTAAATCGTGTAATTAATTATAAGATAAACAATTGTATTTTGTACTAGATGATTAATTAAACCTTTTGAAATAATTATAAATAATAACTATTGAATAACCGTTATAACTAATTGGTTATTATAACTTAATAACCTTTGAATTTTTTTAATATTGTTATTTTTACTATTGAAATTAGAAAAAAAATACTTTTTTATATTTCATTCTTTCATTCATTCATTCATTCATTCTTTTTTTTTCTTTTCGGCTTAGTCCCTTTATTAATCAGGGGTCACCACAGCAGAATGAACTTTACTCAGCGGATGCCCTTTCAGCTGCAACCCAACACTGGAAAACTATTAATTGTTCTATAAATTATAAAATAATTCACTGTAAAAAAAATTACACCCTTGAACATTTACTAAATTGCTCAAAGTGAATGATCAAGAAAATATGCAAGTTTTTTTCCACTACGGGATAAATATTACAAAGATAAATGCATCTTTTTATCCAAAATGTTTACTTTCTTTCTTGCAATTATAAGCTTTATAATCATAAGCTTTGCAGTTCTTTATTCTCAGAATTTTGATTTGGTATGCCAACATTTTGATTCACAGTCATTGTAAAAACAAAGAATTGTGTAATATAAACACAGAGTAGTGAGGGAAAAATGTCATAACTGTAAGATAAAAAGTCGGTTACATAAAAAAATACATTTCATAACATAAACAGCTTCTATAAATATATGACTAGAAGTTACATAAATTAATAAGATTAATTCAGTGATGATTTGATTTTTAAAACATCTATAAAACTGTAAAGACACCACATGCTTATGAGGTTTTAGGTCATGAGCTGTCATCTGATTTCTAATATTATGCAACAGCTTTGTAAAGATAAGTTAGTTCTATCTTTCATTTTCGAAGGGCTTATATGTCAATCCATGACAGATCTTATGCTAGGTTCTCACTCATAATATATGAGATCCCTGTGTGAAGTTTACCCACAGTAAATATGACAGAGGTATCCTCAAAGTGAATCAATGACTTCCTCTTTTCACAGTATGTCTCGAGAGCAGAAAGCAGTGGAACGTGCCAGAAAGGCCTTCTTTACTGGCCGAAGCAAATCTCTGGAGTACCGCATTTCGCAGCTGAAAAACCTGCAGCGTTTTATGCAAGAACGACAGAAGGAAATCGCAGAAGCCCTCAAAAAGGATCTCAAACGGGTTGGTGATTCATTCAGTTCACTTTCCATTTACCTTTTTTGGACAACAAAACATAAAAAATAATTATAAGAATAAATGAAGAATATTTCATTATTATTTATGTTATTATTCTAGCAGTAAATTGCTAAGTAAAGTGCTTGGAAGTTTTTTTAATATTTTGCATATTTTTATAATGAAAACTCCACATATTTAAAAAAAATCTTCTCGTTTAACAACGCCCCAAAAGTTAAACAGTTGAGTTTTTACCATTTTTGAATCCATTCAGTTGATCACTGGGCCTGGCGGAGCACTTTTAGCTTAGCTTAGCATAAATCATTGAATCGGATTAGACCATTAGCATCTCACTCAAAAAAAAAAAAATAAATAAAAAAATAAATTTAAATTATATATATATATATATAATATATATTTATTTTATTTTTTTAAAGAGTTTTGATAATTTTCCTATTTAAAGTTTGACTTTAGTTTTTAGTTGCTATTTTCTAGGCCAAATGGCTATGAACTATACTTTCATTCTGACATAATAGATGTTTTATAAGCTAATTTTAGAAGGAACAATATACAGATCATTGACAAGGCTAATTCATCATTGACAATCATAATTATCCAATCATCTATAGAACAAACCTCTATAAATAAGTTTGTCCTACCCCATTATCTATTTCAATCTTCAGCATCTCTCTACCAGCCCATCTCAGTACTTTCAAATTAATTTATTTAGAGGGAGCATTCTGAGGCCCGACTGTACACTGTGCACAGACCCTTCTCACTCACTCTCTCCGGATATGGTGAATAACACAAGTTAGAGTGTCCTTCCATGCTCAGAGCCTTTTCCACAGACAGCATTCCAAATATACCTAAACTTATGTCAATTATCTGTGCGAACTAATGAATCAAGCTTTAAATAGTAACATTATGAAAAATCTTTTTTGAAATGCTAATGGTCTAATCCAATTCAATTGTGTATGCTAAGCTAAGCTAAGCTAAGCTAAAAGTGCCCCCACCAGACTCTGAGATTAGCTGAATGGATTAAAAATGGTAAAATTGAAAAATTAACCTATTTTCAAAGAAAGTTGATGCAGGTAATGGAGATCTAAAATAGATAGAAGAGTGCAGGAGCACAGCTGATCTCTTTATTTGTCCTTTTCTGTCAGTCGTGCATTAAGTACACAACTCAAGCTCTTGAGTAAAAGTATTGACACCCTAATGAAATATAACCCCAGTAAAATTATTTTGTATTTTTTTCTTTTTGATTGAGTCATCATATCAAGTTCTTGATTTTTAATGTACTTAAAGTGTGGAAAGTGGAGTATTTCTTTAAAGGGATAGTTCACCCAGAAATGAAAACTTTCTCTTTATTTACTAGCACTCAAGTGGTTGTACATTTTTATAATATTCTTTCTCTCTGTTGAACACAAAACAAGACATTCTGAAGAATGATGGAAAATAACAGCCATTGTAGGAACAAAAATACTGTGGAAGTCATTGGCTGTTTTTTTTTCAACACACTTTAGTATATCTTTCTTTATGCTTAACAGAAGAAAGAAACTCAAAGAGGTTTATTTGGAGCAAGTGGAGGATTAAATTCAAGAAATAATATTGTTACATCACTGTCAGTCAGAAGAAGATGAGGTGTTAGCAAGCGGCAACCTCCTGCTCTCCTTTAGGAAGTCAATACGGAAGTAACTAAAACTGGAATTCATCCGAAATTCCACTAGTCCTGGCCGCTCCTGGCTCCAAAATAAAGCAAATTTCAATTGAGCCCACTGTTAGAATGGCCAACTTTACAGCAGAAAAAAAGGTGTTTACAGCCTGGTACAAAAAAAGATTTTGGTTAATACAGCTAATATTACCCTTCATGACGACTGTGAGGGGGGTGAATTTTTTTATAACTCATCCGTTTCCTTTATATTAAGTTATATTACGTTTGCATAATTAAGGGAGTGGCCACTTGATTGACAGCTTGGTCTCGTTGGTCACCGTCACGTCACCTCAGCTGAATCCTGCAGATTAGCCACTGAACTCGGCATATTTATCGTATTTCTGTATTGTTTTATGTGGCTTTACACAGTCAACTGCCTTTTGGACTTGTTTCCTACAATTATTAGATGGCATGGCATGCTGAGTGCACTTAATTGTGCTCACAAACCATTCACGTGGCCTCTGTTTCCCATGTGAGTAAAGTTACATACTTATATACCATCTCTATACATGTATTTGTTTTATTTAAGATCATTTATCGTTTATATTTATATTTAGAGCTGTAATGCACTTCAGAATCTGACGAATTGATTAGCTGTAGGCTCTAGAACAGACATCTGAAGCGTTGTCATACAGTGTTATTGATTTCATCAATAGTCTTGCATTAACTAACACAGACTATATCTGAAGTGTTTAGAAGTAATTTGCGTTTTCCTCCTGTTGAAAAACCGTCATAAGAACAATGTTTAGTGGCTCAGTGTATTACAGCAGTGTTTTTAAAAGTCTAAACACTTTATTGATATAGTGTACAGCCAAGCACAAGTGGTCAGAATACAACGATTCACAGGTGATAAAGTATTAAGCGTTCTCCCAAAGTAAAGTGTGTCTGAACCAGGTCCAAGCAAAATGCCAGCAGGTGTCTGTAGCTCTGCTCACTCTCCGCCTCTTTGCCCTTGTTTGGTATCCCGCCGTGGGTGTGATGTCGTGCGAAGAAAATGGCGACGGTTGGCCGCGCCTACTTGTGGCTTCTTTTGCGCTCCTTAGAAACCTATGGGCGACGTCACGGATACTACGTCCATATATTTTACAGTCTATGGGTGTTAGTAGGCCAGACAGTATAATGGACTTTTTCCAAAATGGTGAATTTAATTATATTTCTTTTTCCCTTTATTTTGATGTGTAAATAATGATAGAATTGTAATTTTTGGGTTAACTCAATCTCTTTAATACTACTACTACTACTACTAAAAATAATTACATTTGTAAATAATTAAAATGTTTTTATACAATATTTTTGTACATACAATATTGAAAATAGTAATATACATTTGTGAATGTCTATATTTTTATTGTCAATTTACTTCTTATTTTGAATTCCTTTATTATCTTTGTTTTGTCTTGTGACTGTTATTCTGTTGCACTGTAGAAACTTCTGTCACAAACACAAATTCCTTGTATGTGTAAACATACTTGGCAAAAAAGCACTTTCTGATTCTAATAATGCACAAGCATAGACTATATGCATAAATAATTTTTTCCCCCTGTATTTGCTGACATGTATTGATATGTGCTTTATATTTGTGGTGACAGAGTGAGTTTGGGACTTCTTTATATGAGACCCTGGGTGTGGAGAGTGAGATTAATCTGGCTTTAAAAAAGCTGAAAGAATGGGCTGCTCCTCGACCTGTGAACAAGAGCCTAATGACCATCTCAGACCAGGTCTACATCCAACCTGAGCCTCTGGGAGTGGTGCTAATCATCGGTGCTTGGAATTACCCCTGGGCAGTCACCGTCGGGCCCCTCGTAGGAGCCATAGCTGCAGGTAACGTAGATCTTCTGAAGATAGAAGAGGGCAAGAGGGCACAGCTGATCTCTTTTTTTGGTATTATTTTTGATGGATGATGTACACAAATCAAGTATTTATTAATACCCCAATGAAATATTACCCCAGTTAAATATTTAGTTATTTTTTTCTTGTTTATTGAGTCAAAATACAAAATACATGACCCCCCCATACATAAAATTCCAAACATAGTGGAATTTCTTATTTCCACTATGACAAGATATTTTAAAGAATGCTTAAATCCTGTTTACTATTGACTTCCATAGTAAGAAAAACAAATACTATGGAAGTTAGTGGTTACAGGTTTCCAGCATTCTTCAAAATATCTTCTTTTGGGTTCAACTGAGCAAAGACCCAAACTGGTTTGAAAGGGTGAGTAAATTATGACAGAATGTTCATTTTTGCACAAACTCTCCCTTAAAAGTGACTAAAAGTACCAATAGGTGAATTATTATTCTTATTCCAAGAAAACGTTTAATTTTTAACATTAGTTTCAGCTTTTCAATGAAACCTACACTAAACAGGTAGTACTACACAAATATGAACACGTCCCAATTTAAGCATCTCATTATATGGCTTAAAAAAGTCAACATATCACAGCATATTTAGTTCACAAACATCTGACGGTCATGATTTTTAAATCGTTAAATTCTGCATTAGTAGCATTTAGTCGTAAGCACTTAAAGGGATAGTTCACATAAGATAATACAATTTTCTTAATTGGTTCCAAACTTTTATGATTTTTTAATTATTCTGTTGAACACAAATCAAGATATTCTGAAGAATAGCAGCCACTGTCATATACAGTATAGTGCAAACAATACTATGGAAGTCAATGGCTGTTTTATCCAGCATTCTTTAGTATATCTTCCATTGTGTTCAACGGAAGAAAGGAACACAAACAGGTTTGGAACAAGTGGAGGGAGAGTGAATAGTGACAGAATGAAACAGTTTGAGTGAACTACAGGTCCACTCAAAAAGTGGTGTTTGCAGTTTGTTCAAACTACTTTTTTAAAATGAGCTGAAACAAAACAATTTTTTCAATTCAATTCAATTCAGCTTTATTTGTATAGCGCTTTTACAATGTAGATTGTGTCAAAGCAGCTTCACATAAATGGTCATAGTAACTGGAACAGTGTGGTTCAGGTTTTAGTGTTTAAGTTCAGTTCAGTTCAGTTTAGCTCAGTTCAGTGTGATTTAATCATTACTGAGAGTTCAAACACTGAAGAGCAAATTCATCGATGCGTAGCTCTACCAATCCTGAGCCATGCGAGGCAGTGGCGACAGCGAAGAGGGAAAAAAAAAACTTCACCTGATGGGAGTGAAGAAAAAAAACCTTGAGGGAACCAGACTCAGTTGGGCACGACCATTTTAATTTCTCCGCTGGCCAAAAGTCTTGTGCAGAGCTTCATTCGCCGTGGTTTAGGCTGGAAGATGGCCTCAGCGAAGACTCGTCTGTCCCTGGAGCGTCGCTGGAATCAGACTCATGTTCTCCACTCCCCACGACCATCAGCGCAGCAGCAGCTCAGGATATGGCCTGGTCCCGGATATGGTATCCTTGGGATCATCACGTCGCTGGTCTTGGATCCAATCAGTGACTCCGCATAATCTGAGGACCTCGGGATGAGTATCCCCAGGTGAAAATAGAGAATAAAGAGAATAATTAGCGTAGCTGCTGTTCATAGTGTATATAAGCAATATGAGTATATAAGTATTTTTGAGTTCAACTTAATTGTTTTAAGTTCAATACACTTATATTTCTAAAAAACAAAAAAGTTGTTGAAATCAATTGTGTGGAACTCAGCATTTTTACAGTGAATCACTTTAAAGCAAGCTGCTTAACATTATTAATATAAAAAAAAATCTGTTAGTGTTTTTTTCAGTTAGAAATACACTTCAGTTTCTATTGTAAAGCAGCTCTTTTGTGTTTACGTTATTACTGGCAGATGCTTGACCTCAACAGAAATGAACCACAATACTGTGTTGAAGTAGGCGGAGCTTCAGAGACACACCCACCCATTATATAAATGCCACAGACCAGTGGCAGTTTGAAGTGTTTACCAGCTGGAGTGAACATCTCTGCAATGTTTGCTTTGGTAAACTCTTTACACACTCAGAGCGACCTCTAAATAAACTATAGGTTGGCCTAATTAAGTTCAAAATGAGATTACAACAGTCTTGTTTTTCTTCTCCTTATTTGGCTGAAAGTCTTAAAGGGTAAGTTAATCCAAAAAATGAAAATTTTGGCATTATTCACCCTTCAACTATTCCAAACCTGTTTGACTCTTTTTCATCTGTTGAACACAAAGAAAGATGCTTTGATGAAAGCTGGAAACCTGTAAACATTGACTGCCATACTATTCATTCTTTCATTTTCTTTTCGGCTTAGTCCCTTTATTTATCAGGGGTCGCCACAGAGGAATGAACCGCCAACTTATGCAGCACTTGTTTTATGCTGCGGGTGTAACCCAACACTGGTAAACACCCACACACTCTTACACACTCACATACACTATGGCCAATTTAGCGTATTCAATTTGCCTGTACTGCATGTCTTTGGACTGTGGGGGAAACCAGAGCACCCGGAGGAAACCCACACGAACACGAGGAGAACATGCAAACTCCACACAGAAAGGCCAACTTACCCATCCAGGGCTCAAACCAGCAACCTTCTTGCTTTGAGGCGATTGTTTTACCCACTGCGCCACCCCGCCATTTTTGTTTTTCCTACTTAAAAGAATCAATGGTTACAGGTTTTCAACTTTCTTCAAAATATCTTCATTTGTATTCACAGAAGATAGAAATTCCTAAAGGTTTATAGTCACATGAGGAGGAGTAAAAAGTGTTTAAATGTTAATTTTTGAATGAACAATCACCTTAATATTGGATTGATATATCAACCAATTTAATTGAATAAAAACAATACTTAAAGGGCAATGAAACCCCCCTGTTTCAGCAGGGTTTTTTCACACCACTAGTTTGGAAAAAGTTAGGAAAGTGGGTGTGTCTAGCGCTGTTTAGGTGGGAGTGTCGGGGGAGGTAAAGAGGGAAGGATTTGAATAAAAATGGGAGTTTCCATTTAGTCACATGCTGATTTTCACCGAGGCAAAATAAACACACAGATGCAGGGGAGAAAGACAGTGACTGTGTTTAATAACAGTGCAATGTTTGATACCGCAGGTCGCATAAGAGAAAAAAACCTCCGCATTTCTCGGTAACTCAGATGCACTCGGTAGGTCAGAAAGCCGTGTGTGTGTAGTCTATCCTGTCACAAAATGTTGCGAAAATTAAACACGACGGTCGGTAATAGTTTGCTTGCAGTGTTTACATGTTTACACTCAGAGAGCAGCATTTACAGCAGATCTTCCAGTCCATAATATTGTAGTGAAATTAACGTACTGTAAACTTTAGTAACTTAAGTATAAGGTCTGTCTTTAAACACTAAAAGAGTACTGCTGGCGATACAAACTATAACTTTACCATCTGAATGAACAAAGAAAGGGCACTGAACGCACACACCTACCAAATCTGTAGAGACAGAACAATCAACACCAACTGGAGCCGCGTCTTTATTAAAAGGAGATGAGCAGCAAATCCGTATTTTACAATTTCCGGATGCGAAAAGCTCTCGACTAAAAATATTTTCCGTACAAGCGTATTTCTGCTGTGTCGCGTGCACTGATCCACACGTGACTCCAGTTGCGCTCTCATAGCTGGAAAATAAAAACAAAACCTAAGTTGCAGCACATTATAAAAGCTACACTGATGATGATTCTTCTTCTTTTTCCACTTGTTTTGGCAACACAATGTGTCGTCTATATGCCATCTGAACACTGTTTCTGGAAACCGCGATTTACGTGGCCGGAGGTACGTACGGCCGTGTTTAGTTTTTTTCGAGCGAACGCTGCGGGGTGGTGTGGCGCCGCTCCGCTCCTCGTCTTCGCGCTCGCCGGCCGACGGCTCGCCTCAGCTTTCCCGATGCAACCAGTTTGTCCGCTTAGCTCACATCGATACGTCGGCGGAGCGAAGGCCCCAGAGGAGAAGGAGGAGCCGGCCGCGGGGACGACGACCGGGATCGAGTCCGGGGAACAGCGGTTCCAGAAATCAGGTAAGATGAGAAACAGAATCCGAAAAATAAGGGCGAGAACATGGCGGGATCCGAAAACGCGGTCGAAATCGAAGACGAGGGCTGTTGCTTTTTTTTTTTTCTGGACGGCTTTTGCAAACCTTCGCTTGGGTTTAGGGAAGGAGGAGGAGGAAGAGGAGGGCGGCCGGGTCGGCTGATCCGGAGGCTTTTCGCGCGAGAACAGCGCGGGCGCGAACGGCGCGCGCTCCCGAGAGGCGCCCGAGACGCGAAAAAGCGCGCACAGCAGCCTCTCGCGGATGCATGAAAATAAAAACCGCTCGAATACTTACCTCCCGGGACATATCTCGCGGTCCGCAGAAACGTCCGTGGGGCTACGTTTCCACAATGAGCTCGGGTTGGGTTAAACAGTCTTCGAAGCTATCATGCATATTAATAAAGTTGCACCGCATACACAATAAAGCGCGCTGATTGGTTTGAACCAAGTCTTACTTATGAATGAATGCAGCACACTTAGAAACGTCACAAGGTAATCTTAGGTACAGACAGCCTGTCTAAACGCTGGAATACACGCTAAAATCTCATAGCCATGACGCAGCTCCAAAAATTAGTTTCATACCGGAAGTACGAAAATAACGCAAAAACAACCAATTTTCACTTTTTAGTGAAATAAATGTGTCCTAATAGTGTTTTTATCAGTGTGGGTCACATATACAACTGTCAACAGCTCAAAAAATGTGTTTTGGTGTTTCGTGACCCTTTAAGGTTGGACAAATAATGTTAGATAATGTCAAAATCTGATTGCCATGTTGTTCAGTGCAAATAAATTAGCTTAGCTTTAGTGATCTTAACATATTTTAAATATTTACATTGTTTTTTATTATTGTATTTTTTTATTTTTCACAAAAATTGTGACTTGATCAAATGCGAGTGTAATGATTGCTGCACTGCACTTTGTTTTATTGATGCCACACAACCTTGTGCTAACAGAGCAAAGTACAACAATGCTCCTTTCCCTTAGTCACTATCAACAGCGGGAACACTTAAAATAAAATACTGACACAAATGCTTTACGATTTAAAACAGTTTAATTATTCATTCATTCATTTGGTCAATTATGCATTTAAAAGCAATCGTATATATTCTGCATGTGTTATATTACATTATTTACAAATTAGTGACAAATTATGCAACTATTTGTCTGAATTACTGTAATCCATTTGAACTCAATATCACTATGAACAGATAGCTTGAGCTTTTATCCTTATCTGTTATCTAAGTCTTTCACTAAGTAAAAGGTCAGGTTTGAGGTTTAGTATATTTCAAATGCACAGATTTGCAAGCATAGATTTGCAAGTTTACCAAACAACATAAAAGCAACATACTTATTGCTTTGAGAAGTTATTTGTAATGTTTTTTTAAGATACGTTTCTTTTCTTATATTAAAAAATATGCAGTTTTGGGGGTGTTTTTACTTTTCTCTTCTGGGTCAAAACAGACATTAACAAAAGCATTTCAAATAAAAATTTTGTAAATGCTGTTTTATTTGGCAGGTAATGCAGCAGTGATCAAACCATCTGAAGTCAGTGCTCACACTTCCAAAGTAATGGAGGAGTTTTTACCGCTCTACCTGGACAAAGTAAGAATCCTTTTTGAATGTGGTTTATGAATAAAACAAACCAAGCTGTTAGCATTAACAGCTGAAGTTACTATACAGTTGAAGTCATGAACTTAATATGAAATTTGAATTCTTTTTAACACAATACTGATGAAGGGATAGTTCACTGTCACAAAAAATTAATTACCCTCATTTCATAACAAATCTGCAAGACTGTAAATTAGCAAGTTAAAATATTTTAGATGAAATCTGAGAGCTCTGAGCTTGCAAAGACAGCAAGGGTCCTGAAATGTTCAAAGCCCAGAAAGGTACCAAAAACATCCTTATTTTGCCATCAGTGGTTTAATCGTAATTTTATTAAGCAATGATAAAAATAAATAAAAAAAAACAGGGAACATTGTGTCACGCTGCTGACATACTGAATAACCTAGAGGCATTCACATTTTGGACATTTGAGTTGTACATCAGAAGCACAACACATAGGGCTCTATTTTGACGGTCCATGTGCAGAGCGCAAAACGCTGGGCGCAAACGCTTTCAGGGCGTGTCAGAACGCATTTTTGCTATTTTAAGGACGGGAAAATCCGCTTTAAGCCGTGGCGCATGTTCTAAAAGGGTTGAGTTTATTATCTTAATGAGTTATAGGTGTGTTTTGAGAATAAACCAATCAGAGTCTCATCTCCCATTACCTTTAAGAGCCAGCTGCGTCGTGCCATAAGCGCATTTTGACGTAAAGTAAGTTCACTTTCGCTTTTGCTCTCGTGGATAGGGAAACCTTACCGCACAGACATCAATTAGCCTATAAATAATTAATTTAGTTTGTTAAGCGCAAAGATTTGTTTCAAAACTATTTCTAAATTCAGTTCTAATTTCCGGCAAACTAATAAATGAACAATAATAACAAAGTGTGTTCAAAATACTGAGTTATTTCCAAATACACCTGCTGTGCCCCATATGGTCTAAAACCTGACAGGTGGACAAATCTAAGCTTGTTTTTAATAAAACAAATATAAATATGGACATAATGTCACGGTCGGTGAGGGAAAAATGGAGTGAAGACCCAATTGCAGAAAAATGTAGGATTATTTATTATAAACTACAAATAAAAATAAAAGGCAAAACAAAACTACCCCGAAGGGGGAAAACATGAATTAAAAAGGCAAAAACAAACTTGACAGGGCTGGCAGGACAAAACAGGACTGGAGACAACAAGACAGGGTAATATCGACGACGAACTGGCAAAGGACTGAAAACATGAGGGGGATTATAAAGCAAAAAAACTGACACACAGGTGAACATGACAAACTAATAATGAGTTAACACGGAGGGTGGGACTAGACAATAGACGGGAGAGCGCATGACACAGAGAGACAACACAAGCCATGCGCTCACATAACACAGGACAAGAACATGCGGCCAATGAGAGAACTCATCAACTGCATGTTCATGACAAGACGAGCACAACACTGAAGCACACGACAAAAAGCACGTGACCACAATGTAAACATTGAGCCACGTGCTTTGACAAAAGACGCAAGACACGAGCACACGATAGATGAACACCTTACCGTGCGCTCACACATAAGCAACGTGCATGCTTCATCTCAGCGCCAACCAAAACTGAAACCAACTAGACGGAGGCGCCGAGAATAAAGCAGCGCGATGCTGACAGAACAAACACTAACACTAGTACAAGAGCGCGCGCGTCTGACGGACGCAGAGCGTGCGCGGCCACATCAAGCGGCAGCGCGCACACTCTGCGTACACCCTTGACGGCGCGTGTGCACACAGAGACAGAAACAGGACCAGACATGGGTAGTGTCAGAGCTCTGCCACCAAAACAAGAATTTACAAGACCAGAGTGGCAGAACCCTGACATATAATAAATAATACTGCTAATAATAATAACATTATACACAAGCAAATTGAATGAACTGAAAAAGCCTCCCGAGATGAAGAAAGTAAGGCAGTGGTTTTTAAATTCATGTAGGCTAGGAATTAATATGTTTTGTAATATTTTAATTATTTATATTTATATCCTATATATATGCTTATTATATTTATCCTTAATATATCATATCTTTTTCATATGTAAAGATATTTGCGTATTGCTCTACATCTTGTGTGTAGTGTGTAAGCCAGGCGCACTTTGCGCCAGACAATAGACCGACTTTGTTCTGGTCTAAAGAACAGACTATTTACAGTTTCTCAAAAAGCAACGCACCAAAACACGCCTGATTTTTTAGACCAGAACGCCTATGGGCGCACATATGAGCACAAATTCATTTGCCATTTAAACAGTGTGGCGCAACACCTCAAAATGACCCTTGCGCCGAGCTTAAAGTAGCAAAAGACTATTGCGCCGTGCCTTGCGCCACATTGCGCCGGGTGTATGATAGGGCCCATAGTGTTCTTGTGAACACACATATTGAACTGACACTGAAAAGAAACTGGAATAAATAACTGGACACTGGAATGAAGTTGTTATTTATTTATTTTTTGTGTGTCCACAAAATAATTCTTATTACTTCGCATGGATTGTTTTGATGGTGTTCTTGGTATCCATCTATGGAGGGTCAGAGAGTTTTTTAGTTTCATCAAAAATTTCTTAATTTGTGTTCCAAAGATGAATGAAGTTCTTACGGGTGACTAAACAAGAACAGAATTAAAATTTTGGGACCAACTGTCCTTTTAGTACTAACAATTTAAGAATATAATATAGTAGTTTGCACTGTTTGATGCACCTTTTTTTATCAATTTATTGTAATAGATTTTTCTATCAGTTGGTCAATTCAAAAGTGGCAACACGTTATTTGTTCAGATAATATTCACCAACAAAAATCCTTATTTAGGCAAACTGTTAAGATCTAGAAACTAAAAGTACAGTTGGTGATTGACAGCCACACATAGCTAAGGAGCTATCAACCCACGTAATGAATATTCTTCTGCAAAAAATGCGATTGCACGTTTTAAACAGAGAAGGGGACAAAGAAGCAAAACTGACAGACTTTAAAGGGACCTATTATGCTAATTTCTACAAGCTGTAAAATACGTGCCTGATGTCTCTGTATTATATGTGGGAATATTCAGCTCAAAATGCTCTACAAAACAAAAACTCTTTGAATCTCACATCTTTTCCTTCCATCCTAATTGTGCCGTTTTGGTGACTGTCGCTTTAAATTCAAATGAGATTGTGCTCCCAGCCCTCTTTTCAAAAGGGGACGGAGCTGCAAATGCCTGTGCATTAGGATAAGAGCAATTTCAAAACAGGACTAATGTTATCTCTGTGAAAAAGTAAAAACATCAAAAGAAGTGGCTAAGAAAAATTAGTCTATGAAGACTATAATGTTCATTTGTGCATCCAATAACTCCACATTTATAATACCTTAAATCAGGGCTGCTCAATCCTGTTCCTGGAGATCTACCTTCCTGTAAAACACAGCTTTCACCCTGTTCAAACACACCTGAACCAATTAATTAGGACCTGAACAGCACTTGATAATTAAAGGCAGGTGTGTTTGAAATGGGTAGCAACTGAAATCTACAGGAAGGTAGATCTCCAGGAACAGGGTTGAGCACCCCTGCCTTAGATGCTCACATTATCATCAGCAGCTGAAAACACTAATAGTGGATATGGCTGCTTCTTACTCAGGGCTGTCTATGCTAATGAGGGAGAAATCTTCACAGTCAAAGTGTTTCTGAAGACTGTTTTTATAAAGTGTGAATATCCAAATTTTAATTAATCAATTTTTACCATTAGAGGCTGGATATATTCACACACTGATGCAACACAACTGTATTTAATCTCCTTATAAAAGTGTTTTGCATCACCTTTAAATAATAAATCATTTAAAAAAAATATTGAAGTGCCCTCAATATCACAGATGTCTACTATCACAATACACCAGTGGTTCTAAAACTTTTTTCACCAAGTACCACCTCAGAAAAAATGGTCTCTCCAAGTACCACCATAATGACCAGTATTGAAATAACGTAGCGTAGTTGGTCAAATTAAGCAGCTACAGCACTGCACAGTTCAAAAACGAAGCAGAGTCCTATTCATTCAACGAAATTATATTCCATACAAAATATGAAGCTGATCAGTCGGTTTTTATCACATGACTCGCAGTGTGGCATTCTGAAAAGTTAAGATGTTTTCAACTGAGGACGCCTTGAATACGCAAGCGCTTCGTGCTGCAGTTCTTACTAATTTTGCTAGCCTGTGGGTTAAATTTTGGCCCTCAAGTGACCGAGATGTAACAAGAGAACATGGTCATTTTTCAAAATAAAAGATTTTTCAAAATAAACGACTGTTTAGACTCAGATTATAAATAAAACTGAAATAATTAATGATTTTGTTGTGCGGTCCGGTACAAGTTGATCTTCAGATCGATGCCGGTCTGTGGCCCAAGGGTTGGGGACCACTGCTCTAGCACGTACAGTATCTGCTCTGCAAGCACCACGCACCTCTTTTTCTAGTTCTGTGCCAATTAAATTGATTTTTAGCAGCTGATGCCTGCTGATTCTGCTGTTTGATGACGCGATGCACTAAAGTAAACATTAACACTTAAGCTCAATGCTTTGATCGTAGGCTTTAGAGAACAACCAATGCTGATCACATTGGGGTTATTGTATGCATCAAATGAATAAAATTGTATTCATTTTTTCTTTTGTTACTCAGTGATTCCTCCGTGTACCACTAGAAGTAAGCCTGCGTACCACTAGTGGTACACGTACCATAGTTTGAGAATCACTGCAATACACTATATTCATTGTATTACTTAATATTGGCACATGTCTTTATCAGGAGTTGTACCCTGTAGTGACGGGTGGTGTGAAAGAGACGCAGGAGCTCCTCAAGCAGCGTTTTGATCACATCTTCTACACTGGAAACGGCATGGTGGGTAAAATCATCATGGAGGCGGCAGCGAAACACTTAACACCTACCACACTGGAGCTGGGCGGAAAGAGCCCGTGCTACATCGACAAAGACTGTGACCTCACCATCGCCTGCAGGTCATTTTAATCACAGTCTTTTTTAATGCAAGTCTCTGAAATGATTTCAAACATGTGTGATCTGTGAACCAGGCGGATTGCGTGGGGAAAATACTCAAACTGTGGACAGACCTGCATCGCTCCAGACTACATACTGTGTGATCCTAGCATACAGGACAGGGTGATCGAGGAGATCAAGAAGAACATCAAAGTAGGTTATTCGATATTGAAAGTTTGGGCCTGGTTACAACCCATGAATATGAAATATCACATGAGATTTTAACACCATACATCATCGATTTTTTATTTAGATGAATTTTACTTGTAGTTTTGTTTGTTAAAAGTATTTATTTGTATAAACTGTATTATGCAAATTATATAAGTTATGTATTAAGTTTTAAGTTATTTTTAGTTATGTTATTACACAACACAGCTTAAAGGTGCAGTAGGTGATCTGCCAAAATGCTAATCGCTTAGCATATTATCTTTGGACGGTGGGGTGGGACTGTGATTCAAAGCCACACCCCCTGAAATCGCGAGCGCGATGTAGTCTGTGATTATATAAAATAAATAAATAAATAAATGAACATATATGAACACATACAGCCCTTACAGTCTCCGATATATTACCAACTACAGAAAAACTACAGACAGCAGACATTTCGTCCTTATAACTGCAGATCAAATAGAAAATATAGCCTAAAGTCAGTGAAAACCTCTCATCTGTGTCTATAATCTTCAGCAGCACGTGTAGCCTCTGTTAGAGAGCCATTCTATCATTTCCAGTTCATATTAGTCCAGAAGGTGATGATAAAAATTAAAACAAGGCAGTTTGTTCACGTTTGCTGAAGAAATAATGTGCGCTTCACTCTCGCGTTGGGTTTCAAAAGCACACCAATAATCAAGCGCACGTTATTATCATCAGCTCAAGAAGTTTGTTATTTCAGATATAGACGTGCGGCGAGCGCAAGCAAAAAAGCGAAAACGCTCGCGCTTCAGACTGGCTCGTAAAAAACTACGAGGCACAGGGTAGATTCTGCTCTACTCCATGGCTTTGTGGCTGTTTATCAAGACGACAACAAGGTTTGTTAGAGCCCGGATCGACCAGGGCTCATTACTATATGTATATATAATTCTGCTGTAATTTCTCGGCTTGTCGGCTGTGTATTTTAAACATGGCGGGTTTTTTGTTTTTATTCTGGCTAGTTGCGTAAGCGAATGACGTATCTCTGTAAACCAATAGCATTCAGCTGCGCGTCTAGCTCCGCCTTTTGGTACCCTTTCTCATGTTTGGTACCCTTTCGAAAGGGTGCCGAAAAAGTGGTGCGGTACGGTTCGATTCGGTACGCCTTTTGACAGTGGAAACTGCCATAAAACTGTATCAAACCGAACCAGTGGAAACGGGCCATAATGCACCATAAAACTATGTTGTCGAACACCGTAAAACAGGAAGAAGAAGAAATCGTCATTTTCACCATCATATGGATTTACTTTCATCATCTAGTCACCGGCTTCACAGCTTCATGAATGTCGGTGCCGTCCCTTACTGATCCGCGATTGGTAAATGTAGCTTGTGTGGACACTACTGCTCTACTTGACTAATAAAATAGCTTTGCTACTGAAAAGCTTTTTGATTTAGGGTGCTTTCACACCAGTGAATCGATTCAGTTGTTCCGAAACAAGGGTTACAATTGTTACATTGTTGCTCTTTGTTCTTGGAGCGGTTCACTTTCACACTGCAAAGTTTCTAATCGGACCAAAAGAGCTAAAACAAGTCACGTGCGAGTAAACTCTCCTCACATTGGTCAGAGTGTCAGGGTTTATTTTGCAGAGTCCCGCTCAGCTGTCAGGAGAGGTGGTGGTTTGGTGGTGTTTGACAAGGTGCGCGCAATGTGTCTGAAGAGTATGGAGTGATGCGGTGGGGAGGGGTAAGAAGGGTGCGCGACGTAGCCTATTTGAGGACCGGGAGGGAGACGCAAGATTACTGGGAGATAATCACTCGTTTGCGGGCATCCGGGAGACTCACAAAACTTCCCGCCCTACTCATAATTCTCTCTTCATATAGCCGTATGCCTATTACATATCCATAAAACACTGTGATATGTGATATGTCGGATCGTATCACTTTCTCACTGCAATTGATCTGCTCCAGAGTTCGTTTCAATCGAGCCGAGACCACCTTATTCAGGCGATCTTGGAGTGATTGATTTGGCGCGAATCCTAGTGCGATTGCTGGTTTCACATATGCCAAATGAACCGCGCTAACTGGGCAAATGAGACAGGTTCCGAAACAAAAGTGTAGGTGTGAAAGCACCCTTAGAAAGTAGTAACGTTACCACCACGCTACTAAGAAATGTACTTAAGCTAGTAGCGTTACTACCAAGCGGCAACCTCCCGCTCTCTCTCAGGAAGCCAATACGGAAGTAACTAAAACTGCAATTCATCCGAAATTCCGATAGTCCTGGCCGCTCCTGGCTCCAAAACAGAGCAAATTTCAATTGAGCCCACTGTTAGAATGGCCAACTTTATAGCAGAAAAAAAGGTGTTTACAGCCTGGTACAAAAAAGATTTTGGTTAATACAGCTAATATTACTCTTCATGACAATGGTGAGGGGGGTGCATTTTTTTATAACTCATCCGTTTCCTTTATATTAAGTTATATTAAGTTTGCATAATTAAGGGAGTGGCCACTTGATTGACAGCTAGGTCTCGTTGGTCGCCGTCACGTCACCTCAGCTGAATCCTGCAGATTAGCCACTGAACTCGGCATATTTATCGTATTTCTGTATTGTTTTATGTGGCTTTACACAGTCAACTGCCTTTTGGACTTGTTTCCTACAATTATTAGATGACATGGCATGCTGAGGGCACTTAATTGTGCTCACAAACCATTCACGTGGCCTCCGTTTCCCATGTGAGTAAAGTTACATACTTATATACCATCTCTATTCATGTATTTTATTTAAGATCATTTATCGTTTATATTTATATTTAGAGCTGTAATGCACTTCAGAATCAGACGAATTGATTAGCTGTAAGCTCTAGAACAGACATCTGAAGCGTTGTCATACAGTGTTATGCTGGATTTCATCAATAGTCTTGCATTAACTAACACAGACTATATCTGAAGTGTTTAGAAGTAATTTGCGTTTTCCTCCTGTTAAAAACCGTCATAAGAACAATGTTTAGTGGCTCAATGTATTACAGCAGTGTTTTTAAAAGTCTAAACACTTTATTGATATAGTGTACAACCAAGCACAAGTGGTCAGAATACAAACGAGTCACAGGTGATAAAGTATTAAGCGTTCTCCCAAAGTAAAGTGTGTCTGAACCAGGTCCAAGCTAAATACCAGCAGGTGTCTGTAGCTCCGCTCACTCTCCGCCTCTTTGCCCTTGTTTGGTATCCCGCCTTGGGTGTGATGACGCGCGAACAAAATGGCGACGGTTGGCCGTGCCTACTTGTGGCTTCTTTTGCGCTCTTTAGAAACCTATGGGTGACGTCACAGATACTACGTCCATATATTTTACAGTGTATGGTTACTACTTGTAGTGACGCTACTGCCCAACACTGCCAATTTGTCTGGTCACATCGGTCGGTTCGTCAGTCAATAGCGGCCTCTGGTGGATTTATGTGAGAACAGCAGGCATGAATGGCACTCGCAAGAGGAATTTGAGATCTGAAAAGGCATAGACAGCGGCCTCTGGTGGACTCGCGAAAACAAAAACAGCAAAAAAAACATAGCTCCTGGGACTTATTTTGCTCTCTTCAGAAATGTAAATAGGAGTATGTAATCAGAGCCTGGGTTAAATTAATTTTTTAGCCATGCATATTACTAATCAAAAAATAAGTTTTGATATATTTACTGAAGGAAGTTTTCAAAATGAATTCATGGAGGATAGTCTATCTAAATAATCTAACTAATTAATGTAACCAATTAATGTAATCATTTTTTTTGTAATCAAATTATTTTTGTCATACAACAAAAATTCATTATTTTGACTCATACATTGTTCTGGCTGTTTTCACAAATATACCCATGCTTACCCATGCAACATAACCTGTTTTGGACTGAGGTTAAAATATATTTTGTTTATGTATATACAGCAGTACTTGTAGTAGTGCTAACATGTTGTTTGTAAGTTTAAATAACTAAAAAAAATATCAAACTGAGCTGAATCAACTGAGCAAATGACTATTTTCATTGATGATCATCAGGAATTCTACACAGAAAACCCACAGAAATGTCCAGATTACGGCCGAATCATCAATCAGCGGCACTTCAAGAGACTGATGTCACTAATGGAGGGCAGCAGCATCGCTGTGAGCGGCGAACACAACGAGGCAGAGTGCTACATCGGTATAGTTCAACCACTCTGCTAATGCTAATCAGTCACTACAAGGACTTTCAATAGACTATACGTTTTATTTAATGATTTACTTTTCACGTTATAGCTACAAAAACTGCACATTTTAATGGTTTATATTGCTAACTGCTATCATATTGTTGCAAATGATCATATTCATAAACAAACTGGTTTGTAGCACAAAGAGCTTTAGCACTAATTGTAACTTTGTTATTCTCATAGAAAATCAATATAGCAGCTAATAAATCAGAAGTCTTGGACGTTCATAGCAAACAGCATATTTTAAAACAATGTGTTTCTTCATCATGTTTGTGTCCACAGCTCCAACAGTGCTGAGAGACGTGAAGCCTGATGCCAAGGTGATGCAGGAGGAGATCTTTGGCCCTCTGCTGCCCATCGTGACTGTGAACAGTGTAGATGAAGCCATCAAATTCATCAACCAGAGGGACAAGCCCCTCGCATTGTACATCTTTTCTTCAGACAAGAAGGTTACACTCACTTAATTCATTCATACTATAGAGCAGGGCTTTGCAAACTGCGCCCCACAAAGTTCTTGAAGTCTTTTTAAATCAGTAGCTCTTAAAGGTGTCACAATCCTCCAAATCCACGATTCGATTACATTTTCGATTCTAAAGGCACGATTCGATTCGATTTTCGATTATGAAGAATTAATTAATGACCAATTAATTATTTGTAGCCTACTGTTTAAACTACCTGACCTGGATGGTCTTAGTTTTACCCATAAACAAATCATTCAGTAAATGAATAAAGGCAAGATACACACATAATTACCACCTGTCAATCACTTTTTATGCGGGACTCGTGAATAGGCAGTGATCTGTGTCGTTATAATGGCGTCGGTAAAAAAGACGCACAACCAACAGGAACCAGCCAACAGTATCTGAGGTGTTCGCTAAAATGACTAAGTTCAAGTAAGTGAAAGATTGAAGCAGTCCTCTGACTGCCTGGACCTGCTGTCTCGAGCGCAAGGCTGTATGTGCGTCTGTGTCTGTGTGGTCACGTGATGTGCATTATCAGAGGTAGAGAGGAAGGAGGGCTGCTCAGAAATGCCACACGCCACTGTGGATGTCAATAGTTGTCATTCTAAAATGCCATTTAAAAACAAAGACAGTGTAAACAGGGCCTGAGTGTGTACTTTTCGCGAGTGGGTTTGCAACGAGGGCAGGCGGAGGATCGCGATGCCGGTGTTGTCTATCGGACGAACCGTACGTAATACGTACATAGCAGACCTTGCAAAACTTTTTTTTTTGTCGACAACATGAACGTTGTCAACATAACTCACTGGAAATCCAAAATGCTTACACACCGGCGACTTCATTGAAAGAGGAGAGGGTTTAAGTTCTGTCGACGGGTCTCCTGCTTCTGCAGTTTAACAAGCACTTCAACAAGCCTGTTTTTTTCCCGCTTGGCAAGCCAAGCTGACGTGACATGGGGGCGTGGCAGCATCGACGATTCTATTTTTTGATACGATAATCGAAATTGAGCATAAATTTAGATCGATTTCGTGACACCCCTAGTAGCTCTCAGCTATCCCTCACCAGTGTTGTGCACTTTACTTAACTGAATGACATCATTATAAAAGTAACTAATTAGCAGAGAAAGTAATGCGTTACTTTTTAAAAGAAAAATGTCAAAACTTGTACAAAATGCATGTTGAATCAAATGGACACTAAATCTTGAACATTAAAATAACAATATATTATTTTTTATGAAATATTCTATATTCTGTACTATATTAATGTAGCTGTGGAACATGCTACAATGAAAGACACCTATCAAATGTAATATTTTAGTGTAAATATTATTATTTCTATAGTGAAACAGTAAAACTTAATAGATGGTTTAGAAATTTTTTATTATTTACTAAAATTTGTATTATTTTAGCAGTGTTATTGTATTTTAACTTGAGTACAAATATTCTGTTCTCTTTCCATCTGTGAGAGAACATCATCAAATAAAATAAAATAATCACTTGCACATTTAGTGCAGGCTTATTATATTACTATTTACTATATGATTAATTAATGATTTGTAGTATTGTTATAATTATTAGTTCTTAAGCAGTATTTTGATAAATTGCTGAGAAGAAGACATTTCAGGCGTTTAATACATTGCGTGTCAGTCTTGGTTTATTATATTATTTATTATTAATAAATTATCCTAACTGCAATGAACCAGCTTTGGTGGGGACCCAGCTTGCAAAAGGTAGAGAACCCCTGATTAAGAGCACTGTTTATTTTTTTATATAAAATATAAATATAACATTGACATCTTTCCACGGTTGAAACAAAGATTTGGTAAATACATTAGATAGGCCTACTGTATATTTCAGTCTGCTTCTTTTTCCTGATGTTTTAATTCTGGTATAACTGAATTAAATCACTTTTGCGTCTACTTGCATCAGCTCAATTGCAAATTATATACATTTAAAGTCAGAATTATTTGGCCCTCTTTGATTTTTTTTTATATTTCCCAAATTATGTTTAAAAGAGGAAGGAAATTTTCACAGTATGTCTGATAATATTTTTCTTCTGGAGAAAGTTTTATTTGTTTCGTTTCGGCTAGGGTAAAAGCAGTTTTTAATTTTTTAAACACCATTTTAAGAACAAAATCATTAGCTCCTTTAAGCAATTTTTTTTTTCCTGACTGTCTACAGAACAAACCATAGTTATACAATAACTTGCCTAATTACCCTATCCTGCCTAGTTAACCTTATTATAATAATTAAGCCTTTAAATGTCACTTTAAGCTGTATAGAAGTGTCTTGAAAAATATCTAGTAAAATATTATGAACTGTCATCATGGCAAAGACTAAAATAAATCAGTTATTAGAAATGAGTTATTAAAACTATATATGTTTAGAAATCTGTTGAAAAAATCTCTCTCTCCATTAAATAGAAATTGGGGGGAAAAATAAACTAATAATTCAGGGGGACTAATAATTCTGACTTCATCTGTATACTAATTATTTACACCACAATTTAGTTGTATGTAACAGTAATGGCATTGTAACCGGGGGAAACAGTAACTTATTTGATTACTCGTTACTGAAAAAAGTATTTTTTTAAGTTACACCATTTATTTATGAAGTTGTTTTTCTCATCACTGTTCATCACAGGGCACCAGGTCACTTGTAAATGGTCTCATTTTGCTAGCTTAGTTTCTGCTAGTGCATTATTAGAGGTTGTTCTGGCACCACTACTAATTTACAGAAGTGATTGATGGTGATATACTGTTGGGAATGAAATACATGACAGAACTCACCAGTAAGAGAGTGAAACAGCTCTACTTCTTCTATTTTGACCTTCCATCCACATTGAGATGCTGTTTTTAAGCAATGAAAATCTTTTTAAAGGCCTTTTTTATAGTGGAAAAACATGATGTGACGTTTTTCATTTTCAACAAACTTTTTAAAGAAATGATAATGCAGTTTTAGTCACGCGGCCAGTTCAACTGTAATTATAATGTTACAGAGGTATTAAATATTTAAAATGTATAATGTAATTGAATTACTGCATTTGTGTCATTTTAATTGTGCAATTTTAATTTGAACTAAATGTCCGCCGATTTCTTCATAACAATAGAAAGCAAATAGACTACTGTTTTGCTTCTGTGGTGACAATGTTATACTTGTACATGATAATCTACAAATGTGCAAAAGACAAGGCTGTTACACTTTTTTGGAGAGCACTGTTTTTGTTAATGAAAATGAATTCACATCCTTATCCCATCTCACACCCATGCTTTAATTTTTTGTGAACATGGTATTACTACAAAACTCAACCCGGGCTCATTGTGGAAACGTAGTCCTGCGGATGTTTCTGGAGACCGCGGAATACGTCCCAGCGGGTACGTACGGCTGCAGTTTTTGCGAATCCGCGAGAGGCTGCTGTTGTGCGCTTTTTCTCACCTCAGACGCCTCTCGCGAGTGCTGTTCGCGCCCGCGCTGTTCTCGCGTGAACCCACCAGAGGCCGCTGTCCGACTGACCAGATGATTGACTGCGCGACCGGCTAATTGGCCGACCCGCCCTCCTCCTTCCCTAAACCCAACCAATTTTACCGATCGACCCGCCCGCCCGCTCGCTTCCCTAAACTCGAGCAACAGTTTACAAAAGCCATCCAAAAAAACAAAAGCCCTGATTACCGCGTTTTCGGATTTCACCACGTTCTTACCCTGTTACGAAACTCGTTCACTTAATTTTTGTGATTCTGTTTTTGTCTTACCTGATTGCTGAAACCGCTCTTTCCCGGACTCGAAACCGGTCGCCGTGGTCGACTCCTCTCCGCATCTCGAGCCTGCCGATGTACAAGATGAGCTGAGTGGACAAACGGGTTGCGGCAGGGAAGCCCTCCACAAGGAGGTAAGCGGTCGGCCGGCAAGCGTGAAAAGGAACAGCGTCACACCGCCCCGCAGCGTTCGCTTGAAAAAAATAAACACGGCCGTACGTACCTCCCGGGACGTATTCCGCTGTCTCCAGAAACGTCCGCGGGACTACGTTGTCAGAATGAGCTTGGGTTGACAAAACTTGTTATAGATTCATATTACATGTACTGTGCTAGCAAACCAATCAAACCAAATTGGCCATAATTGATAAATGTATACTTCATTTATTTGACAAACAAAAGGAAAAAAATGCTTTATTTCCCATTTAAGTTTAAATACTGTTAAGGTTAATTACCATTGTGTATGTGGGTTTGAAAAGTTTTTTAAACTCCTGTTCTTGAGAAAGATGCTGTTTTGCTTCAGGCTGTACTAAACAGTGCTGTGATTGCAGTTGATCGACAGAATGATAGCGGAGACATCTAGTGGTGGACTGATGGCCAATGACTGTTTGATGCACTTCTCTGTCAGCTCTCTGCCTTTTGGTGGAGTTGGTAAGTCTTAATAATCTTTCTGTTTACCTTACTTTTATAAAGTATAAACTCTTCTAAAGCATAAAAATACCATAATATGTTTGCAGATATTTAGGAAACATGGTAAGTGAATATACTTGTTTATCTAAAAACAATCCTACAGTCAGTTATTTATTTTGAATTTTATAGCCCGCCCACTGCCAGTTTATATTGATTATATTTCAGCACCCTTGGTTGCCTTCAACAAATGATACCCAAATGTCTACATGCCATTATATATATATGTAATAAATACAATATTACAAATGTAAACATATGCTGAGTAAGGCTCAATCATCAGGCACACTCCCTCCTGTTTATGTTGTCAATCTGGCAACCTGCGTGTGTGTTAAATTGGAGTGAAAAAATCCTCTTCAGTATATTGAATTTAGACTACAATGCCTAGTTCAACTACTATGTGTCAATATACAGACAGTTGAAGACAGAATAATTTTCCCCAATTTCTGTTTAACGGAGAGATTTTTTCAGTTCATTTCTAAACGTAATAGTTTTAATATCTCATCTCTAATAACTGATTTGTTTTTATCTTTGCCATGATGACAGTAAATAATATTTTACTAGATATTTTTCAAGACACTTCTATACAGCTTAAATTGACATTTAAAGGCTTAACTAGGTTAATTAGGTTTACAAGGCAGGTTAGGGTAATTAGGCAAGTTATTGTATAATGATGTTTTTTTCTGTAGACTATATAAAAAATGGTTCTTAAAAAATTTAAAACTGCTTTTATTCTAACCAAAATAAAACAAATAAGACATTTTCATAAAGAAAAAATATTATCAGACATACTGTGAACATTTCTTTGCTCTGTTAAACATAATTTGGGAAATATAAAAAAAAAGAAAAATCAAAGGGGGGCTAATAATTCTCAACTCTATCCAACTTATCCAGCATATGTTTTATGCAGCAGATGCCCTTCCAGCTTCAATACATCATTGGGAAACACCCATACACTCTCATTCATGCACATACACTACGGACAATTTAGCCTACCCAATTCACCTATACCACATGTCTTTGGACTTGCGGGAGAAACCGGAGCACTTGGATGATACTCACTTTAAGAGTTTCTGTTTACAACCCCAAATCAGAAAAAGTTGGGATAGTATGGAAAACTCAAATGAAAAAAAGAATGTGGTGATTTCTAAATTTACTTTAACTTGTATTTCATTGCAGACAATATAAACACAACATTGCATATTTCAACAAGACAATGCAAATCCGCATTCTGCACACATTACTAAGTCCTGACTGCAGAGGAAGAGGATGCAGGTACTTGACTGGCCTGCCTGCAGTCCCGATCTGCCTCCTCTAAAGCAGGGGTTCCCAAACTTTTCAGCACGCGACCCCTAAAATAACAATGCCAGTGACTCGCGACCCCCAATATCCTCTGAGGTGGTTATAAATACAGAAAACTTGCATTCAATGGTGCACACACACACACACACACCAATAGACCCAAGTCTATTCTTCGTTTAATTTTTTTTATGTATGTCAGTGCCGTAAATGGGCCAGAAAGTTTAACCTGGTGTTATAAAATCAATCTGCTGCATCTGACGCTATTGCTGTCTTTAATATAATGTATTTACCCCAGGGGTCGCAATCCAATAGAACAAGTAAATAAGCTACTATAGTAACTATAAACGACTGTTTTTTCTCTTCAGTTGGTTATGGATAAAATATGGTAATTCTTATGGCCTAATAATAATAAGTAGATTTTTGGAAATCACCAGGCGACCCCCCTTCATTGTTCCGCGACCCCTCAAGGGGTCCCGACCCCCACTTTGAGAACCACTGCTCTAGAGAATATGTGGCACATCTTGAAGTGCAAAATGCGACAACGAAGACCCTGTACTGTTGCCAACCTTAAGACTTGTTTCAGGAATAATCAAAAATTACACCTGAAACACTTCATCACTAGGTGTCTTAAGTCCCTAAGCGTTTCTTAAGTGTTGTGAAAAGGAATGGCAACATTACAAAGTGGTAAATGCTTTACTGTTTCAACTTTTTTAATATGTTGCAATAACCAGAACTAGAATGCTTGTATATTTTGAAAAAAAAAATAAATAAAAAATAAAACTATGAGGAACACATAAAATAATGTTTGTTGTATTGTCTGCAATGAAATAAAAGTCAAAGTAAATTTAGAAACCACCACTTTCTTTTTTATTTGAATTTTACATAATGTCCTAACTTTTTATTTAGGGGTTGTAGATAACATAATAACTGTTATGATTGGTAAGAGACAATTACAAATACATATATACACAAACCCAAATAAATGAAATAAGTAGCGAATGTTTTGAAAGAAAATGACAAAAAATTTATATTTTGTATTTGTATAAATATTGTATACATAATACATTTTTTAAAAATCTTTGTAAATTATAAGTGTTTATTTTTGTGTCAACTCTTTCTTTATGTTTTGTTCCATTCCGATGAATCTGTGACTTTTAAAAATACAAATGTAAACAATTCCTAACTGACCTTTTCATGTCCTGAAGTAGGGGAGACATTTAGCTCAATTTGTGTCTATGGTTTTATCAGCTGTGTGTGTGCCGTGTGTGACATCTTTGGCTCCCCCTTCAGGTGACAGTGGTATGGGCCGCTATCACGGCAAGCATGGCTTTGATAACCTGAGCCACATGCGTGGGGTTCTGCTCAAGCAGCTGAAGATGGAGGCGGTCAATAAGATGCGTTATCCTCCGCACACTGCAGATAAACTGGGCTGGGCTCGATTCTTCATAGTCAGACATGTTGACTTCGGCAGCCTAGGCCGCATGGCGATGCTGGCTCTGATGGTGGTGTTTGCTGCAGTCATCATACAGGTAACACACCATTACAAATAAGATTTTTACAGTTATTATTTATCATAGTCTTTTATTATTCTATATTATTTACTCTGTTATGCTTATGCATGTGTGCAATATTAAAAAGTAAACATATTTAGAATAAAATATAATATAATTATATGTTATATATATATATATATAATTATGTTATATTGTTATTAAATATTAGATTGTGATATATTAGTAATATTGTGTTATTAGTAATATATGTGTTATATTATATGTGTTATATTATATTATATATCAGATTTTAAGGCTACTGTACAACTATCAGTTTTAAATTCAGTCATACTCTTATTTTATTTATTTATTTTTTATTTCAGAAATATTTTACTGACTAAGAATGTGAATAATATGAAGAAACCTTCCCTTCACCTGAAGCTCTGGTCAGACGGTGGGTGGATGGGCCTGAAGTGCTGCTTCTCTCCTTTGCCTTAGTTTCAATATAATGTCCGTCATTCATTTCAATCATTACAACAATATCTAGAGCACTTTAATCAGTGATTATTTTAGGACACGCTCATTTTATGTAACACTCTTATCATCCTGTCCATGGCTGGGATGTTTTTAATGAAAGATATGAAGGTCTCACAACAGATTTAATGATTTGTTTTTCTAAACTAAATATTAATATATAACTTTTGCTCTGAACAAGAGGTCCAGGATTTTGAAGAGATACACATTTCAAACAGAAATCTAAATGTGAGTTTTGTGAACCGTTAACAGACCGTTTGAGCTGCAGTCAGGTGGTCCACTCATGTTTATTTATGAAGGATTTACAGAAAATATAATTTAGTCCTAGATGTTTTACATTTCACTGGATAGTTCACTCAAAAATGAAACTTCTGTCTTTATTTACTCATTCTACTGACATCCCAAATCCGTTTGTCTCTTTTTCTTATGAAGAAATGTTTAAAAATAGTTATGGTGCTCTTTTTATTTTATTTTTTTTTTACAAATCTAGATGCCAAAAATTTGGTCTACATTGCTACATTGTAAGTAGCGTTCAGTCATTTCCTTTTAGTGATATCAGATTGTGTGCCGTGTATCCGTTGTTTACGTGCATTTACTGTATGCAATGGTTGACGTAACCAAAACATTTCTGCTAATAACTGTGCTAATGGGCCTTGTAATATGTATAGCTGATACATGGATAATTATCCCAGTTTATGTCAAAACAAATATTGGTGACAGCCAACCTGAACCGATAATAATCCTTTTTGAGATCTCTGATGGGCCAAACAAAGATTCAAAGCTGAAATACACACTGCAAAAATTTGAGAAAGAACTAAATGAAATACTGTTATATCAATGAAAATGAATCATTTATTTAAATAATTTAGGGTTGCAAGCTGCTCAAAAAGACAGCCATTTAAAATAGTTTATATATTGAAGCTAATTTATGTTAATATTTAAATTTAAATGTTTTTTAAAGACATTAATAATAATAATTAACAATTCTAAAGTATTAGAATGTATAATATAAATAATTGTAATTCATATCATTTAAACAAATTATTAGCAGCAAAAAAAATTCAGATTTGTGGGGCAATTTGGGGCAAACAAAAATACACACAGGGACTGTGAGTGGCTTCATTGCATCAGGTATATCGTCACCTTGGAATTATAAGGTTTTATCTGTGTTTGTTTTTTAAATAAAAAAATCCTAAAATGTAAACAACATCCCATAATGTAAATAAGTTGTCATTTAATAAGAATATGTCAATAACTTTTCTTACAGCGGATTGGTCGAGTTTTGTTTTGCAATCTCTAAATCAGAATAGCTGCAGCCTGCGTCGGAGCAGGTTAACCATGTATTGTAATTTACTGTAGGGACAAAACCTGATCAAAACCGACCCGCCTTCTTGAGCCAGAAAACTCAATTAGCTCAAGCTAAACATGAACTTACCCGAGTAAAAACCAAAACCGGCTTTGTGCAACAGGCCTCTGGAGTCAAAAGTATTACTTTTGTTTTTTCCATATTTTGACTCAAAAATAACGTTACTTCTTGGTTTACATTTTATCAATAACCAATAACCACCGTTCTTACCTAAATAGGACTAATTTAATAGCAAAACTTCATTTTTGGGTGAACTGTCACTTTAGGAAAGCAGAACTTTCTACAATATTCCTGACATTTCACTGTGAAACATGCTCATCTTTTACAGAAAAAAATTATTTTTAAAAATAAGCTTCACATGTTAAAATCACACATGGATGAAATGTGGAACATGTGAAACTAATGAAATGTGTGACTTTGGAACATTTTTGGATTACAGTTAATTTTAAGCTGTGCTTGTTACAATGACTATGTTTACATGGACACCAATAATTAGATTTTAATGCGATTAAGACTACTCTGATTAAGAATCTACCATGGAAACAGCGATTTTTGATTAATTTAATCAGATTAAGGTCATAATTGAACTAAAGAGAAATTGAATTAAGACGCGTGGAGTAGGCAGATTTTAGTCGCTTTATTGAAGTGCAGTCCATACAAGTAAATACCCTAATCATACTATTACCGTCAAGTAGGACTTTTCGCCGCTTTTTGCAACAGGGTAGTCCACACACACACACACACACACATACACACATGCACGGCTGAATGACACTCTTTGCACCTACCGAGTCAGTGCAGACCACGGACACCTGCTTCGTTAAATGCAGAGGTTTTTTCCATTCAACATGCGATATGAACTTCCATTAAAACAACACTCTTCCAGCAGTTCATAGTTGCATCCAATATCTCGTTTGTCACGGTGGGCATGCATGAAATGTTCGTGAATGAAAGTGAAAGTGCCAAACTGCAGTTAAAGTCGACAAATTATAATTGAAAGACCCAAAATTACATGAAACTCCGGAGGAAATGCGAATAGCACAGTGACGCAATGACGTTAATCAAATTATGTGCTTTAACATGTAAAACGCGATCATGAAAGTAACACTCAAAAAGCAACTCATGTAAACACCTTAGTCTTAATATTCCCTTAATTGGATTAAAGCAAAAAATGTGATTACTGATGTCCATGTAAACGTAGTCAGTGAAACTATTTAATAAATCAGTCAGTTAATTAAATGTGCTTAGGGTTAGAATGCCGTTTAGGGCTAGTTACATGTAATTATGCATAATCAATTTTAATTATTGCAGTAAGCACATGTAACGTGAAAACTTAAAGTGTTACACTTTAGTTTTTTTTTTTTTTTTAAATAAATGATACATTTTTTTCACATGAACTTTTTTTTCACATTCAATTTTTTTAACACAGGCTCATTCTGAAAACATAGCCTTATATACATTTCTGGAGATTGTGAATTCTGTAGCCAGAAGTATGTACCCGTATGGCTGCATTTCTTCTTTAAAGTGAACACTACACTAAAAAAAAAAAAACATAGCTCCTACAGTAGGATGTATTTGGCGCTCTTCAACAATTTATATAGCCAAATCAAGTCAAAGTCAGCTTTATTGTCAATTCAGCCACATGTACAAGACATATAGCGGTATGTTTTCAGAATGAATCTGGGTTGGAAAATTTTGCTATTCCAAAAGCAAAAATTTCCTGTTTGTTCTACATATGTTCCATGTGTGTTTCAAGTGTGATTTTAACGTTTGTTAAGCTCATATGACGCTAATCTAGTTTTCTGTAAAGGATGTTCTGTCTGAAGGATCGCTTCATTTGTTTCTCCATTTCCTTTAGTCCTAACATGTCTTATACTGTAATAATACCATAGATTTAGTGAGACTTTTATGCAAAATCATTTTTAATGCAACAATAAACCTGTTTTTACACAGCTGCAAGTGGTTTTTTGGTGTAATTGTGCAACTTCTGGCAACTCACTGACTGTGTATAGAAATGTTTGCTTGTCTTTAACTTTTATTATTGTCTCTCCTTTATCTGTGTCTTTGTTGTCCTCCTACACAAACACACAGCAGCTCACGTGGACTGCTTTTCTCCGACACACTGACATATTAACTAGGATGAATCATATTTAAAAGAAAACAAAAGCCTTTTTCAGTCACTCATCGAAGAATGCAAGAGTTGTGTAACAGCTTTCACATATCAAACAGGAAAACAAGCTTACAACAAGGAGTTTAAGACAGATATTCTGATCTTGCTGTGCTCTTTTAAGCTTTTTTTTTGTTGTTTTAAGGAGTCCAAGGTCAACCTGAATATTCCCTGCTGGAACGAGGAAGTAAAACAGGTTCTGCAACATGAAACCTGTTTCGATGATACTGTGTAAAGGCTACGTTTACGGACTTCAGATGAGATGTAAATATAGCACTTTAAGCATGTTTAGAGACTCTTGATAAACACATATGTTTGGTAAACCAAGAGAGCGTGTGGTAAATGAACACCTCTTACTGCTGAGACTCATTTTTTGGTGCTGTTTGAGTTGGGATGGCCTGTGGAGGTGTTGAGGTGTCAGATGTCAACATGACACTGGAGACAGGTGGACAATGAGGAGGAGAGAGACACACAATATGTCTTATTTATTGTTGTCTTGGTGGCACTGATTTTGTTAAGCACAATGGCAGCACAGTTCGTAAACTCAGCATGTTATTGGTAGTTAAAACTATATTTTATTAAAAAAATCAAATATTTAAAAAATAACGCAATTTTATTTTTATTAAAATAAGGGAAATAAAAAGTGAGTCAAAGTTAATCATTATAATACATAAATAAATAATGTTACATCAGTGCACGCATTTAAGATTTGCATTTAGTTTCTACTGAATTAAAATATTTATAACTGCAATTAACATAAAAATGAATAAAGTAGGTCAATTCAGAAGTACTGACAACACAACAAAATGACTAAATGTAACTATTTAAGTGATTAAATGAAGGAATAAGGAAACTAAATTTGAAAAAAAAAAATGTCTTCCCACTTCATAAAACAAGAAATAAACTTTATTAATCATAAATGGCCTAAATATATACTATTAAAACAATAAAATAATAATAATAATAATAATAAACTGAAATAAAGAATGAATAAAACATTGTATATAGACAGCCTTTTAAATTACAGATAGCTAATAATTACCGAAAAAAAAATAATAAATAAATATATATATATATATATATATATATATATATAAACAGAATATTCACAAATTAATCAAATGTTTAATAAAAAAAATCAGGGAATAAGCTGAAGGATATTGTTTTGATAAAAAAGAAGTCTCAGTAAGACTAAAATAACAAACACAGTTGCCAAACCGGGTTTCTTTTGTTTTGATTTAACTAAAATATACTTCAGCTCTTAAAATAATTACTTATATTATAATAACGGGAGTTTTAAAAGCAAAAACCATATCAGTTTATTTGAATTAAAAGCAATATGAGCATGCTTACAGTAACAGGTGTAGTCTGTAGCCCCGCCCCTCTGAGACTCTAGTGGGTGGGGCATTGAGCGGACGGACAGTTGAACAGTAAACATTGAGCTTCACCTGCTCTGCTCAACACGGAAATCACCGACAGCCTTATCACTGTCACACCGGTAAATAAACCATTAACCTTCTTACAGAATTCATCACTTCATTGGTAAAGTTCTCAGCAGTATTACAGTGCGCAGCGGCTCTCTATAATGCCGGGTTTGGATCTGAAGTTTCTGGAGAGACCGCGCCGGAAGTTTTACTGCCCGCTGTGCGAGAAGCCGATGCGGGAGCCGGTGCAGGTTTCCACCTGCGGACACCGCTTCTGCGACACCTGCCTGCAGGAGTACCTCAGGTAAAACACCCCTTATTCTCTCTTTTTCACTCACACACACACAGGAAACACAGAGTTAATCACACACACACACACTACACGACAAAGAATAATGGAAATATATGCAAAGTCAATGTTTAACGCTCGCTGTGATGTGATGTCCACGTGACGTCCCTGTAAAAAAAACTGACTGGACAGTAAGTAAGTGTTCAGACCAGAATATGATCTGGGTCACTGATAAATAATAAAAGCGGGAGAAAATAATGCTAAGAAAAAGAAGCAATGCCAGCATTGCTTAAAAAAAGAAGCAATACAAATAGTTAGAAATAATTATAGTTGTATTAAATTATTTTTATGTAGTTTAAAACGTTAAGTCTTTAAATCTGAATGCAATGAACTATAACAAAAACATTACTTTAAAATGTAGTTTCCTTTGAATAAATTTTATACGTTTTATCATGATGAAAAAGACAAAAACGTGAAATAAAAACTAATAATTATACAACAAATATACAACAAAAAGTGCACAATAACTAAATCACATGACAAATTAGACATTACATAAATACAAAAAAAAACAAATAAAAACAAATATGTCATTAATATAAATATATTTTAATATTACAGTTTTAAATATACTGTATTTACTTTGAAACTTTAAAATATATGATTAAATGTCAAAGGCTCTAACCATGACAAGCAATGGCTATGATAAAAAAAAGCTTATAAATGTACTGTGTGTGTGTGTGTGTGTGTGTGTGTGTGTGTGTGTGTGTGTGTGTTTGTGTGTATGATGGCTCTTTAAATAATAAAAAAATACTCGAAAAGATGGTGCTGCCACAATACAAGCCAAGGCATAATTAATAATAAGTATTTAATTATTTGTTTGTTTGTTTAGTGATGGGCCATTGAATTAAAAAAGGTTAATATACATCAGAAAAGGTGATGCTGCCACATAACAAGGCAACATTTTTAAAAGAACATTTTTTAAAAGAACATCTATTTGTTTGTTTGTTTGGTTATGAGCCTTTGAGTTATTTAAAAAAATGTGGCTAATACTCAACGAAAAGGTTATGCTGCTAAAACAAAGCATAATTAAATTTATTTATTTATTTATTTATTTATTTATTTATTTATTATTCATGTAGTTTAAGTATCCAACAAAAAAAACCTCCATTAATCAAATTTTTGATTGGAGTTTGTAAACTGAAAACATCTTCAAGTCACCATCTGAATTACAAATGTGTTTTTAAGATAATTGAATAGATGTGTTTAATTGTCTATGTGAAAAGCATCACTTAAAAATAATTGCCCTTATGACAAGATACAATAAACTAACGCCAAACAGGCCGAGCAAGATGTCCGAGCCGCACTAAATCCCTCAGGCTACAGACTGTCTGTCGGTCTCTGAACTGACAGTTTTACTTTGCAAAGTTGACATAAAATGATGTGCTTTCCTCTGTTACATGTTAAAGTTTAAAAAGAGATGCGAGTATAATCGGACTGCCACAGAAATCTGCTTGTATTCTTTAGAAAGCCTGAAGGATTTTCTAGAAAAGAAAGTATGCAGTGAGTCAGTTTATTTGGTAGTGTTGCTCAACTATAAGCATGCAGTTTTGGGTTATGACCCATTCTTTGCATACCATCTCTTTTCTGACGAGTATACATGCATATATATCAGTCGCACTGCTTAAAAAGACTGAAACAATGGCAATCATTGTCTTGTGGATGTTTTCACAGTGACTGAAAGTCTTGTTCATTCACATTCAATCACGTACACGCTTACACTTAATTCACTGATTATATTCAATTGCTGTTTGTCAGACAATTCACCCAGTGATTTAAAACATGACCATTGGGAGGTATTTAGGGGATAAATTACTGTATAATCCATCTGCTCTTTGAGTAATAGCTATACTGTTAGGCTTATATATAATGTGGACATATTTATGATATTAAATTAGCACATTGGTGAACATGATAAAGCATGCATCTGCCTTGAGGTGGCCCATCTGCAGTTCTGACTCACTGAGTGTCCTGAACAAGATAAGACATGACAAAATGTGTTTGTTTTGTTCACACTTTCTAAATTGTAAAACTTTGTATGGTTATTAAAATAGTTTATATTACATTTAGGGTGAGACAGTGGCGCAATAGGTAGTGCTGTCGCCTCACAGCAAGAAGGTCGCTGGGTCGCTGGTTCGAACCTCGGCTCAGTTGGTGTTTCTGTGTGGAGTTTGCATGTTCTCCCTGCCTTCGCGTGGGTTTCCTCCGGGTGCTCCAGTTTCCCTCACAGTCCAAAGACATGCGGTACAGGTGAATTGCGTAGGCTAAATTGTCTGTAGTGTATGAGTGTATGTGTGTGTGGATGTTTCCCATACATGGGTTGCGGCTGGAAGGGCATCCGCTGCGTAAAAACTTGCTGGATAAGTTGGCGGTTCATTTCGCTGTGGTGACCCCGGATTAATAAAGGGACTAAGCCGACAAGTAAATGAATGAATGAATATTACGTTTAAATTAAATGTATTCCTTTTCGTTGTGTTTTTCCATTAGTAAAAAAAGTCATGATTTGATCTTGAAAGAAACGTTAAGTTACTTTAAAAAATAGTCACTTATTGAATTTTTTTTGATATATAGTTTGCTTAATTTGCATTATTTAAAATGTCAATGTTATTTGTACAAATAAATAAATACATTAATTAATAATAAATAAATAAACAAACAAACAAATAAATAAATTATTAAATAGACATTTAAAGCAGTGGCGCAATAGGTAGTGCTGTCGCCTTACAGCAAGAACGTTGCTGGGTCGCTGGTTCGAGCCTCGGCTCAGTTGGCGTTTCTGTGTGGAGTTTGCATGTTCTCCCTGCGTTTGCGTGGGTTTTCTCCGAGTGCTCCGGTTTCCCCCACAGTCCAAACACATGCTGTACAGGTGAATTGGGTAGGCTAAATTGTCCGTAGTGTATGAGTGTGTGTGTGTGAATGTGTGTGTGGATGTTTCCCAGACATGGGTTGCGGCTGGAAGGGCATCCGCTGCGTAAAAACCTGCTGGATTAGTTGGCGGTTCATTCCGCTGTGGCGACCCCGAAATAATAAAGGGACTAAGAAAATGATTGAATGAATAGACATTTATGGCGGTAATATATTCTGTGTCATCATTAATTCAGTGTTTTCATTAGTAGAAATTCTTTATATGACAATAAAGGTTTTTTAAATAATGTAAATATAAAGTACATTTACATATTTTACTTGTAATAATGCTTCCAATAATAAAATGCACATATAGGATAATGTTTGAGTGTTTGTGCACTCAAAAATAAACACAGATTGGTCGTGTTGAATCCAGCACTGTTTTTTTTACGTTTTTTTTTTTTTGCTGTGTTTGTGTTAGACTGCTTAATTTAAATTTTACAGGTTTATATTTTTCATTAAATAATTACAATAAACAAGTTTAAATTTTTTGATTTGTACTTTAAGTGAGCTACTGTATTACTATTAAATGAAAAATAAAACAAGACTTGAAGCAAGACAAAGACTTCTTTCTGTTTTTCATCTGAAATGCCATGATTATTTATTAATTATGTTTTAATGAATAATACTTAACAAATTTGACCAGAAATGATGAATTTTATGATCAACACTGTGGTTGTATAAGTTGCATTAGAAGCAACACATGTAATTTCTGTCAAACCTTGCTATTTTATAAAATGTGTATTAAATCTGGTGGCAAAAACTGCAACAACTTTCAAACAATTGGAGATCTATATTCAAGTCACAATGGCATTTTAAAAATTTGAAAAATAAGTTATCAAAAAACCAAAGTGTGCAACCAAAACAAAAAACCAAATGTGTGCAAGTATGTGCATGCCTCAAAAATGCAGCAATTGGATTTTCCATCTTCCTATGATGAAGCTCCTCAGGACTTTTGTGAAAAATTCCCAACAGGATTTTGAAATGACGCTGTGCTTCAGTGTCACACGTAATGGAAAGATCGCAGCTCTATTAATATATGTGGTGTTGGTCGTTCTGCTTCCCCATTTTGTGTATGTGAGGGATGATTCAGTGTCGTCCTCCTGAAGGCCTCCGTCAGCCTGTGGTGTAGGAGGTGATTCTCCAGTTCCTGTCAAATCAATTCCACTGTGAATCATTCAGGCTTCATGATGTGGAGGCTTCAATCGGAGGCAGTTTTTCAACCTAAAACATATCATGTAAAAGTTCAGCAAATGCAAATCACATTCTAACGCATTCACGTGTACAGTAAGTGTTGCTTTCTGTTATGTTGAAAAGCAAAAACACGTGGACAAAACAAATTCAGCATCTGAAAAAATGTAATTGAAAGACTTGCATTTATAGTGAGTTCCAGATTTGTTTTATTGCTGGCATTTTACACAGTATATATTCATTAACAATTTCCATATTTTTTGATTCACAAGTGTTTTTCATTTACGTTTATGAATTGCATTTTGGGACATTGATCTCGGCTCAGTCCATTTTTGATGCCCAAAATTAAACTCTACAGTTTAACAAAGTGACTTTTATTGACATTTTGTTGTAGTTTGAAACAATATAATGTATAAGAAATAATATTTGCAGAAATAAGTCTGGAAAAAAACAGAAAATGTACTTTCTGTTTATGACAAGGTTTTTGTAGGGTAATATCTGCTTGTTAAGTGTGACGTCACGCGAAGCGGCTTCCGGGTCCAATCGCTCTATTCAACTGAATGGGGAGACTCGTGAAATGGTAATAATAAACGTTTACAAAGCGATTTAATACTTTCGAAAATTCCGGGTCCAAGCCGCCATTCATTTGAGTGGAGAAATCATTAGTTTATGATCACGTTTTATTCCTATCACACATTAAAGTTAATTTTATATAAAATCATAGTGTACACAACAATCTCTGGGCTTGCTGCATAACAAATACCAAAAATTTAACAATGTAAAAAAATATTAATCACTTTCTGGCCATCGGATATTAGGCATGGACATATATACTGCGATCGTGATTTTCGAAGCGGCTTCCGGGTCCAAGCGCTCTATTCAACTGAATGGGGAGACTCGTGAAATGGTAATAATAAATGTTTATAAAGTGATTTAATACTTTCGAAAATCACGATCGCAGTATATATGTCCATGCCTAATATCCGATGGCCAGAAAGTGATTAATATTTTTATGCATTGTTAAATTTTTGGTATTTGTTATGCAGCAAGCCCAGAGATTGTTGTGTACACTATGATTTTATATAAAATAAACTTTAATGTGTGATGGGAATAAAACGTGATCATAAACTAATGATTTCTCCACTCAAATGAATGGCGGCTTGGACCCGGAAACAGTATTACATACGTCACAAACATATGGAAGGCTGTTGGGGCCAAAACGTCTGCAACAACGTGTTATGGCCCCAACGGCCTTCCATAACAAACACGTCACCACTTAACAAGCGGATACAGCACCAAGCCGGACAATATCCGCTTGTTAAGTGGTGACGTGTTTGTGACGTATGTAATACTGTTTCCGGGTCCAAGCCGCCATTCATTTGAGTGGAGCAATCATTAGTTTATTCCTATCACACATTAAAGTTAATTTCATATAAAACCATAGTGTACACAACAATCTCTGGGCTTGCTGCATAACAAATACCAAAAATTACATATTACAATTTATAAATAATTAATCACTTTCTGGCCATCGGATATTAGGCATGGACATGTATACTGCGATCGTGATTTTCGAAATCGCTTTGTAAACGTTTATTATTACCATTTCATGAGTCTCCCCATTCAGTTGAATAGAGCGCTTGGACTAGGAAGCCGCTTCGCGTGACGTCACACTTAACAAGCGGATAGCGCTTTAAACTATTAAAAATGTCAATAAAAGTCACTTTTTTGATGTTTTCAAGGTTAAAAGTTGTTGGAAGAAAGATCAAGGACCCATAATGCAATTCAAAAACGTATAAATAAAATAAATTAAAATATTATTAAACAACAGAAATTTATATTTTTTTACAGTGTAAATTTATAAGCATATTTTCTATGGAGATTCTTTAATGACAGTCCCAAAATATGCAATATAGCTTTTAAAATATCATTGATATTACTATTAGGATTTAATAGTCTGACTCACTTTTTTAATGTATTTCAATAGTGAAGGAGTGTTCACATGCCCAGAAGACCAGCTGCCACTAGATTATGCAAAGGTGAGTACTCATTAAAAATAGTGCTGTGCAAAGATGAATCGCATCCAAAATAAAGGTTTGTGTATACGTAATATTTGTGTGTGCTGTGCATAATTTTTATGTATATATAAATACACACATGCATGCATATTTTTGTTTATATTTAGATATAAAATGTATATACTTGTAAGATACAAATTACATCTAAAATGTAAATGCCTATGTAGGAGGTTCAGTGGTTATCACTGTTGCCTCACAGCAAGAAGGTGGCTGGTTTGAGTCCTTGCTGGGTCAGTTGGCATTTCTGTGTGGAGTTTGCATGTTCTCCTCATGTGGGCATGGGTTTCCTTCAGGTGCTCCGGTTTTCCCCCACAGTCCAAAGACATGCACTATAGGTGAATTGAATAAACTAAATTGGGCGTAGTGTATAACTATGTGTGCAAATGAGTGTGTATTGCTGTTTCCCAGTACTGGGTTGCAGCTTGAAGGGCATCCGCTGTGTAAAACATATGCTGAAATAGTTGGTGGTTTTTTTCTGCTCTGGCAACTTTTAATATACAGACTAAGCTGAAGGAAAGTGAATGAATAAATGAAAATATTTTTGTTATGTTTACTGTAGTTGAATTTATATGAATGTGTATTATATACATAATAAATATATATTATAAAAAAACACACACACACACTTTTCTTTTGGATGCAATTAATCATGATTAATCTTTACCTACAGTTTCAGTTAGCAGCTGATTTGATCCAAAGAGGATCTTTCTTAAAACATCTCCCCTGTTAAGTGTAAGTGCCCCTGTTAGGCTATTTTAAAGGTTTGAAATTTTGGAGCCTCTTGTAACCATCCAAGGTTAAAATGCTTTCGTTTTTTCCCTGTTAAACATTTCAGCTTCAGCTCTTTCTCAGTGGCTGAAATAGTTTATTCAAAGATAGCTTAAGCTTCTCCTTTTTAATTTTCTAAACTGATATGGCGTGCTTTTCCTAAACAATGACGTAACTCGCGGCTGAACTATCATAGTACGATGCATTGTTTGGGAATAGAACGATGTATTGATGAGTGTTTCCCAAAACCTGTAGTTTCTCTGTCGCAGATCTATCATTTTAACCACGCAAGTTAAAACAGAATACACCCATGCTGATTAGAATAACCCCATAATTTCTTTGTGCAAATTATATTGTTTCACACATTTAAAGAAATTCCAATATTAGTTTTGGTAAAACATGAACTCTTTTTCCATATTAATTGAAATAAATGTAAACTGCACATATAGGGCATGTGTTTCCTTTAAAAAAATTATTGAGGACATTAAATATTCTATTCTAAAACATAAAATCACTTACAAAAGCTAACACATTCTAATATCATGTATAAATCACAATAAAATAAATAATGAGGCTATAGAAATTAAATGTAATATTTATTATTAAGAAATGAAAAAAATCCTACTTTAATAATAATATAAATAATATTGATGATGTTGACGATTATTATTATTATTATTATTATTATTAAGTAGGATATTGTTTATTTATTTTTTGTTATATTTTTTTTAAGTCTACTTTTGCAATTTGACACATGCAAACCACTGCAGAAATGTTATAACTAACAGGCCCATGTCATATACAGTACAGATACTTAATCAATAACCTACTATAAATTAAAAGCATTAACGTATGCTGTGTTTTTTTGTTTTTACAAGCTTTGGAGATGTAACTTAAATTCTGCTTTTAAATAATAGGTCACCCATAGCTTTCTTCATTAGCCCTGGCAATGTAAAAAAAAAAACATCAATGTTTTTAAAGTGCACTGTGAAGGGAGCGCTATTGTAAACATGAAGATCGCTAAAACTGAACTTTGAATTTAATTTGAATTTAATTTCACTTAGAATTTTTCTAGAATGTTTTCAAAGTATTTGAATATACTTTGAAAGCAAATTACACCTAAAAGTGATGACTTTAATGCTTTGAAAAAAAATAAATAAATAAAATTCCGAGTTTGAATGTTAGAATGTTCTAAGTTAATAGGGCATAGGGGGATAACTGGGAGTAGAACACAGCCAGGAACTATGTTTCTAACCACAGTTCCAGAGGTGTAGCTGCAAGCATAAAAGTTAGCAACACAGTTTGCGAATGTTCATCGAACAATGGATTTGGGAAATGCCAAATCAACGAACTATGTTTGTAACGACACAACTTGCTACCTTACTTGGCTAACAATGGTTTTCGGAAACACACCCCTGATTGGTCAGATCATGACGCACTCTGTTCTGAGTGGTCTACTGCTTTTAAAACATGTTTGAAACCAAACAACCATTACATATCTGAATTTGAAGCCAATTAAATGACATAAAATGAAAAGAAAAGTGAAGCCAAAAATGTTCACCGTACCCTATTGTCTGGATGCTGTATATATAGGACATTTAAATGAATGGAATTCTATAAATGTAAAAATTCTGTTATTAATTACTTGCCCTCATGTTGTTTCAACCCCCTGAGATCTTTGTTTATCTTCAGAACAAAAATGAAGATATTTTAGATGAAATCCGAGAGTTCTCTTAGCCTCCGTAGACAGCAAATACAGTAACGAAATGTTCAAAAACAGTCAAGACCACTTCAGTAGTTCAACTATAATCATACAAAGCTCCAAGAAAACTTTTGTGTGCCAAAATAAACTGTAACTGCTTGCCTTTATTTTCTCTCCTGCATCAGGTCATTAGGGCTTCTACATTTACTATGAGCAGCACGAGCTATTGCCGTTAAAGTATGCAACAACCATTGTATTGTGCATAATAAACATGCACCCTGATCTGATGCAGAAGACAGTGGCAAACAAAGTTGTTCTGACAGTTTTTGGCACACAGTCGTTTTCTGTGAGCTTTATATGATCCCAGTTGAACCACTGAAGTCACATGGAATATTTTGACAATGTCTTTGGTCCCTTTTCTGGACTTTGAATGGCTAGGGACCTTTTGAAAGCTTTTGGATTTCTTCTAAAATATCCTAATTTGCGTTCTGAAGGTCTAAAACTAGCAACATGAGGGTGAGTAATAAATTTTTTTTAGTTTTTGTGTTAACTAACACTTTAAATAGACTACTATGCTTTTCAAATGTTGCATGTTTTACTCCAGTACATAGTCATGAATGTGTAATTGTCATTGCAGATTTTTCCAGACTTGGAGCTGGAACAGCAGATTCTCTCTTTGCCCATCCGCTGTATCCACAGTGAGGAGGGCTGTCGCTGGACTGCACAGAACAAGCTCCTTCAGGTGAAAAAACATGGCCTATTATGTACCTAAAAACACAGCTCTTAGTCATACTTGTAGATGCTCGTACACACAACCTTCTGATTGCGGTTTCTGTATGGTTTCTGGAATCCCTGGGAAGTGCTGGCCGATTGTTCTGCATGGCATTTAACACAGTAAAAACAGCAGTCAGCCTATTCACTAAACTATTTTCTGCTAAAGAGTATGTGTTTTAGACCTTCATTCTCATTACAGTGGCATTTTTGAGGCCTGAAATAACATACATTTAAAGTGCTACTAAACAAAAACAACCTATATTAATATGTTCACCTGGGTTTTTTTGTAAATATTAAAAAGTTTTAACTCACACAAACTGCCATCTTATTAAGTTATGACTTAAAAGTGTTTGTTTTTTTTCATTTTATAGTATTTTATTCATGGTTAAGTATAGTAACCATGTTTTTGGGTGCATTGACTACCATTTTTATAACCATAGTTTTGCTACAAACGTTAATACAAACGCAAAACGTTAATATTAAATTGTTCATTGTTCACAAAGTGACATTAAGAAGACATTCTGAAAGATCATGTGACGCTTAAGATTAACGCTTAACTATACTTTAAATGAAGTTTACCTATTAAAACCTAACATTTTAATAATCATATTTCTCAATAGTACAGTTTTTCTGCACTAGACTTTTAGAAAAAAATTTTTTTCAAAATTTTACCCAATCAAAGCTTAGCATATATATAGATCAGGCATGTTCAAACTTGGTCCTGGAGGGCCGGTGTCCTGCAAAATTTAGCTCCAACCCCAATCAGACACACCTGGGCTAGCTAATTAAGCTCTTACTAGGCTTTCTAGAAACATCTTTGCAGGTGTGTTGAGGCAAGTTGGAGCTTTAATCTGCAGGACACCGGCCCTCCAGGACCGAGTTTGGGCACCCCTGATATAGATGATCTAGATCAATGTTTCTCTACCATGTTCCAGGAGGACCACCAGCTCTGCACATTTCCCATGTTGCCTAAACCAAACACACCTGATTCAGATCATCAGCTCATTAGCAGAGATCGAGGGACCTGTAATGGGTGTGACAGACAAAAGAGACATCGAAAACATGCAGTGTTGGTGTTCTCCCAGGAACGTGGTTGAGAAACACTGATCTAGATGAACAAATCAGATGAAAAAAAATGTAAACAGAACTTAATAGTGTTGTAAATGACAAAATAATTATGAAATATACAGATGGTTCATCCACTGCATCTGATTTGAACAGCCATTTTTTTCTCATATATATGCTCCCAATTTGGAAACTTAAAAAAACTTGGAACTTAAGGTGCTTTTCACCGCATGATAGAGCGCTGTTTGGTTTAAAAATGTCCTGTTCATAACTAACACTTTGTAGTACCAATTGTTCTTGTATGACTTCACCACACGATTATTTGCTTAGCTTTGCTAGATATACCTGGATAGATTGATGAATGTCTAAAGATTTAGAACTGAATGCATGTGGGTCAAATGTTTTGTCTGATTTAATCTTTTTAAAGTTCAAACACTATGGCCATTTTTGTAGTTTTGACTGTCCATTTTTTGAGATCTGAAAGTCTGATCAGTTACAAAAGATTTAGCACAAATTTGATATCGAGTACTCATCATGTCTTCAAAATCAAAACATGCTATAACCACCCAGATCTCTGTCCTCTCCTGCAGGCCCATTTGTCAGTGTGTGAGTTTAACGTGGTGTCATGTCCAAACCGATGTTCTGTGAAGCTGCTGCGTCGTGAACTACCCGAGCACCTGCAGCACGACTGTGCTAAGAGAAAACTCCACTGCGATCACTGTGGAGAACAGTTCACCGGAGAGGCATACGAGGTCAGACATGAGCATTTCTCACTGCTGTCTTACCATCACAGTCCTTTGTCATACTGTAGCACAATATTTGCTCAACATTTTAACATCAGTGTTGATAATTGAAAGCACAAAATCCAACAGCCATAACCCAACAAGACCTCACCCCTTTATGATATCTCCTCTGTAGTTACTAGATGCGCCCTTTTCTGCAAGGGACTTATTTTTATTTTTTAAATTGCTTAGTGCAACTATAAGTTTACTATATTTCAGTGATAAAAATGTTGGGATTTCTATATATCAATATCAACATGCGCAATGTTTAAATCAGGCTTTTACTCTGAGGGTTTTGGCAGCTAGTAATGGAATGAAAAGACAAATACAACACTCAAGCTTTAATAGTTTTTTTGTAATAGCCTGGTAATTAGTTAAAGATGGGAGTTGGCATCTATTCAATTTACAAAAGGGATTTTATGAATGTAGAATGAACATTATGGGCCCTATAATACACCCGGTGCAATGTGGCGCAAGACGCTGCGCAATAGTCTTTTGCTAGTTTCAGCTTGGCGCAAGAGTCGTTTTGAGGCGTTTCGCTACGCTGTTTATATAGCAAATGCATTTGAACTCATATGTGCGCCCATAGGCGTTCTGGTCTAAAAAGGAAGGCGTTCTGAGGCGCACTGCTGGCGCGTTGCTATTTTGAGAAACTATAATAGATTTTTCATTAGACCAAAACAAACCCGGTCTAAACTCCGGCGCAGAGTTGCGCCTCGCTTACGCACTGCTTAATACACACAAGAGAGCAATAGGCAAATATCTTTACATATGAAAAAATTTAATATTAAGGATATATATAGGATATAATAAGAATAGATATAGGATATAAATATAAAGGATTAAAATATTACAAAACATTTTATTTTCTAGCCTACATAAATATGAAAAATCACTGCTTTTATGTCTTCTTCATCTCGGGAGGCTTTTTCAGTTCATTCATAACAATTTGCTTTTGTATAATGTTATCATTATTAGCAGTATTATTTATTATATCCATATTTATATTTGTTTTATTAAAAACAAGCTTAGATTTGTCCACCTGTCAGGTTTTAGACCATATGGTGCACAGCATGTGTTTTAGGATATAACTCAGGTTTTTGAACACACTTTGTTATTATTGTTCATTTATTCGTTTGCTGGAAATTAGAACTGAATTTAGAAATAGTTTTGAAACGAATATTTGCAAAAGCTTAACAATACTTAACAAAAGCAATTATTTATTTATAGGCTAATTGATGTCTGTGCGTAAAGGTTTCCCTATCCAAGAGCAAAAGTGAAAGTAGATTCATTATCTTTCATTCTCATGCAGTAGATGCTCTGTTTAACAGTTTTCTTAACAGAAAAAACTGATCCAAAAAAAAAAACTGTTAACTGTTTGCTACTGAAATGCTCATTTTTTCCACTTAGAATTACTTTACGTCCTGTAAATAGCGAATTCGCTTATGGCGCAACGCAGCTGGCTCTAATAGGAAATGGCAGAAGAGACTATAATTGGTTTATTCTCAAAACACACCTATAACTCATTAAGAAAATAAACTCAACTCTTTTATACCATGCACCACGACGCAAAACGGATTTTCCCGTCCTTAAATTAGCAAAAATGCGTTCTGATACGCCTTGAAAGCGTTTGCGCCCTGCGTTTTTCGCTCTGCGCATGGACCGTCAAAATAGAACCCCATATTCTAATAATTCAAATAACATGCAACAGTTATGGAAAAATACATAAACCTATGGGTTCAATAATGTCCAATTGTCAATTAGCGCAGTGGATATATTTTATGTAAAAATCAAACAACATACATATTCTGACCTGGACAGTTTAAAACATAAAAATAAAATAAAGTAAAAAATAAAATAAAAGCAAACAAAATAAGTGATCAGACTAAATGTCATTTTATTTTAAATGATTAAAACATTTATTGCTGACAAATAAAGGAAGGCTAAAAAAACAAACAAAAGTACTCTCTAGTTTATAGGTCTCAAACTCAATTCCCGGTGGGCTGCAGCTCTGCACAGTTTTGCACTGTGCCAAACACAGTTGATGCAACTAATCAAGGTTTCTTAGGCTGTTTCTCAATTCCATGAATGCAGAGAACGGACTTGTTGCTTGTGAAGACCGGTCTTGCCAGGTCACCTAAGAAGAATGAACACGGGAGAGTGCGAGAACACAATGCGTCCTGTGAGAAATGTGATGCTGCGTTCTTCTTGATGGTCATGTGACCTACACGCATTTTTGACAAAAAATTATGTAAACATTACAGCTTTCATACAATGATTTATAGTTTTTTTTTTTTACCTTTTCACAATAGCCTCCTGAGACGTCGCCCATTGACTTGTGTCCTGTGGACATTGCGTTTTCATGAATTTTCTATGAATTTTTTGAGCTACTTTGTCAAGTCTTGTTGTACTGTTCAGAGGACATCCTGGGCTTTCTAGCGATATGTCATTTGATTGGCTGGCATGCTGAGAACCACTTCAAAAACTGATTTTCAAAAAAGCACATTTTTTGGGAAGGAGAGACGCATGTACAATACATGAACGCATGAACAATACATTTAGCTTTCAAAGCTGTTGTGTTGCGTTTCAAAATATCATCCTTATTTAAATGTCCACTATAGTGGATACCAGAACCATCTTAATGTAATTAATGCATGTTGTAGGAGGCAGAACTGAAGCAGAGAGGATTCTTTATAAGATAGTTGAGGGAGACTCTGATGTAGAGTCTGACAATTAGAGAATTAGAGACAATTAGAGAACGACAATCAGTTTTCAATCGCTTTTATGTTAAATTTGTTTTGGATTAACATCACTTTTTTTTTTTTGAGTTCGGCTCTTTTTCAGACTAAACTGTTTCAGGAATTTCAATACAAAGGGAAAAACTGGCTTTTTTCTTTTGTTTTTAATACATTAATATTGGATTATTATCCCTTAACTGACATATCCTGTACAGTTTTGTTGTCTGAGTTTGGCAGTTGTTTTGAACTAAAATAGTCCTGTGGTGCACTACAGTGGACATGCTGTACAATTAAAAATAAAAACAAAATGAAAAAACTCTAATTTTAGATTTTTTTTTTAACCCAAAGGACGTAGGAAATCACAGAAAAAAAAGAAAAAAATAAAGAAAAAAATTCTTCAGGTCTCTGCTTAAAGACTTTACAAATACATGTTGCACAATACAAATGAAACATATTTTAATACGAATTTCAGCAGTTAAACACCCTTAATGTGTTTATGCCTTTATAAAGATTTTCATGTTAATGTTTATTTTCACCGTCTCATTTAGGGACACTACTGAGACAAATAAGTTATGTCTCTGAACTTTAATAATAAATCTATATAAAATGCTGCGCTTCCCACCTCCAGTCGCGATGACTTCTGTGACTTCTAGAGCAAGCTCGGTGCTCAAGTCTGATTGATGCGTCCTCGATAGTCATGCGCCCTCTGTTCTTGTGGAATTTATATATATATATATATATATATATATATATATATATATATATATATATATATATATATATATATATATATATATATAAATATATATAAAATCACATATAGCTGAACTAGACTCTGATGTTCGTATTAAACTGAACCAGATTCAATTTAACTAGAACTGCACTATGAACCACTACTCTACTGCATGCCTGATTTGATGGAATCTTTCTCAACCTGAAATAACGTTATGCCTTTTTTCACTTTTCATCATCTATCTTAAGCTGCTTTAACACAATGTTCACGGTAAAAAGCACTATAGAAATAAAGATGACTTGACATGTTTTCTTGTTTCACATATATTGTTTAAATATAAAATTAGGCACATGATTCTAAGCTCAATTGTTATTTGACATTTAATCTGGCTTCTCAACACCACTTTACTCTCAGTAATAATTATTTCATGTTCCTGTCTGTCCTCCTTTAGAATCATCAGGGTGTTTGTCCTGAGGAGAGCGTGTACTGTGAGAATAAATGTGGTGCTCGTATGGTGCGCAGACTTTTGGCCCAGCACTCGGTTTCAGAGTGTCTTAAACGCAAACTTCCTTGCAGATACTGCAAAAAAGAGTTCCTCTATGACACTATTCAGGTCAGTGCACTATATACTCTACCATCCTACTTCTGCAACATTTATTTACATTTATTATACATTTAACTGTTTTACCACTTATTAAAAAACAGCAATAACTCTTATTTGTCTGTTAGTGACTTAAACCACTGTGTTATTCTTTATTAAACTAACATGCCTTTATTTATTTTGCAATATTAGTGTTAACCACTTGTGTGTTTTTTTTTTTTAATAAGTTAGTCTTTTTTTTCTCTAGTTAGCTTAATTAGCAAGTTAGGTGTTCTGTTGCATATTGATAGAAAAAATCCTTAGAGGGCTTAAAATATTGACCTTAAAAACGTTTTTTTTTAAATGTAAAAACTGTGAAAAATGTTTGAAAAAGAATTACAATTTCAAAGAAGTGCTAATAATTTTGCCTTCAACTATATGCGGTAATATTATATGTTTAAAAAAGAAAAGTAAGTAAAATGGGTGTCGTCCGGGATTTGCAGCCTCACCCTAAATACCCTTTGAGTGTTTACATGAGGCAATGCACCGCAAGGTCTTTGATTTATCTAAAAATTTCTTAATCTTCCATTTGCAGAATCATCAGCAGCAGTGTCCACGTTTCCCCATGCAGTGTCCTAACAGATGCGGCACACCGGGAATCACCCGAGATACTTTAATGGCGCATGTGAAGGAGGGATGCAGTACTGCTATGGTGCTTTGTCCATTCAAAGAGGCTGGCTGCAAACACAGGGTATGATCTGCAGTTATGGATATTTAACATATGTCCTAAATGGGAAATACTGTGGCCATGAAATGTATCTGAAACTCTTATGTGTGTCAGTGTATTAGTTGACAATATATAAGTACAACAGAAACAAACTGGCAGACGCTGTAACTATCCTTAGTCATGCTTTCAGTTAGCGACACCTAGTGGCAAACTTGGGTATGGGCTGCCAATATTGCTTATTTTAAAACTTTTTCTTGTGCTTTAATTTGTTGAACATTTCGAATTACAAGTTTAGAGAGGAGTTAAAACATTTATAAGATATTTCCAAAGTGTAAATTCTTGTAAACAATTAATAAGAATGACTATCTAATAAACACTGATGATGATGATGATGAAGACTAACAAATAATAGTTTTTAACATCTAAACATTTTACTATAATTTAAGTATACAATTTAGAGTGTATTGTTATTAGTCAATACATAATCCAGGTAATAACCTACCCCTGATTCTAACATTTTCTCATGTAGTAACCAGTATTTTCTTAGCTAATTGCAGCATAGATTAGAGGCTGAGGCGAGGCAGTGTCGCAGTAGGTAGTGCTGTCGCCTCACATCAAGAAGGTCGCTGGGTCGCTGGTTCGAACTTCGGCTCAGTTGGCGTTTCTGTGTGGAGTTTGCATGTTCTCCCTGCCTTCGCGTGGGTTTCCTCCGGGTGCTCCGGTTTCCCCCACAGTCCAAAGACATGCGGTACAGGTGAATTGGGTAGGCTAAATTGTCTGTAGTGGATGAGTGTGTGTGGATGTTTCCCAGAAATGGGTTGTGGCTGGAAGGGCATCCGCTGTGTAAAAACTTGCTGGATAAGTTGGCGGTTCATTCCGCTGTGGCGACCCTGGATTAATAAAGGGACTAAACCGACAAGTAAATGAATGAATGAATTAGAGGCTGACATTTTTTTTTCATTAGCCCGCAAAAATTGCTTGTCTCCATGAAAATCTCCATCAAAATGGAGTCAAAGACAAAACTGTGCTTCAGTTGTGTTCTCTGACATTTCTGGGAGGTCTAAAGTAACCAAACGTTTTTTATGAGTTAAAAAAGACAGCATGGAAGCACAGATTTAGTATTTTGTGTGTGTGTGTGTGTGTGTGTGTGTGTGTGTGTGTGTGTGTGTGTGTGTGTGTGTGTGTGTGTGCGTGTGTGTGTGTGTTTTAGCATGGATGATTTAGATTAAATGTAAAGTTTAAAATGCACACTGTTCATATAAGTTGGCTTTCAGTTCAATAAAATAACAAAATAATTACATTTTTGATTGTTATTAAATCAAGGGGGTCAATGTGAATGCTATATTCAAAACCAGTCCCCCCCAAAAAAAATCACTAAATGGGAGTAGTAGGGAATAGGTGTCTTTGTTCTTGGATTTGGATGGGACATGATTTGTTTTGTGGGATATCTGATATTTCCATTAACAAGCAGTTAAATCAAAATAGAAGGGCTTTTTCAAAATGACAAAAACAGATTTGGGACTTCTGTATGTATAATGTTTTTCCATGTTTCGCCAAAAGCATCAAAATCTCCAGCACCATATCATGTGCTCGTGTCTTCCTCTCTATTGCACTTATAGAGTCCTAAGACCGGGGTGGCTCGACACCTTGAAGAGGCTGCACCGACACACCTCTCTCTCCTGTGTGGCCTGGTAAACCGCCAGAGGCTGGAGCTGAGGGATCTCCGGCGCCGTATGGAGGAGCTCTCCGGAAGTCGAGACGGCACACTGCTCTGGAAGCTCACAGACTTCAGCCAGCGGCTGCAGGAGGCCAAAACCAGGACGTCTGGGTGTCTGGAATTGTTCAGTCCTGCTTTCTACTCTCACAACTATGGCTACCGTCTGCAGGTGTCTGCTTTTCTCAATGGGAATGGCAGCGGCGAGGACACGCACATGTCCGTCTACCTCCGTGTTCTTCCAGGAGAGTATGATGGGCTTCTAGAGTGGCCTTTCCCTTACCGTGTTTCCTTCTCGCTGTTGGATCAGTGCGATCCGGCGCTCACCAAACCCCAGCACATCACAGAGACCTTCAGCCCAGATCCCACCTGGAAGAACTTCCAGAGGCCACGGCCTGGAGCTCTGGGAAGTATTCGCGGAGGCTGTCTGGATGAGAGCATGCTGGGATTTGGCTACCCAAAGTTCATCTCCCATGAAGAGATGAAGAAAAGGAATTATATCAGAGACAACGCTGTTTTCATTAAAGCATCTATAGATGTGGTCCAGAAGATACTAAACTGAGTTTTGAAATCATTGATAAATAATGTGAAAATACAACACTTGCACTCATCTGTTCAAAATGAGGAGCTTTTTAATAACAAATGTATGTTTAATTAGGGTTTTACCACAAATGAAGGATTTTGAGATACTGTGAGCATGTGAAATGTGAATACATTATTTTGCTTGTCCTTTTTTCTATTGTATGTTTCAAATAAATCACATTGACTCTTGAAAAGGCTAATGTGTAACACTCGTCTTTAAATCAACGGGATACACAAGAAAAAAATAAAAGATATGGTTCAATTCTCTAGTTTCTGTATTCAAATTTTATCATGGATTAAGAGATACTTTATGTAATAAAACCACAAATGTCTCTGAACAAGTCCTAAAAATGAAACAAAAACACAAACAACATTTATACAATAACATAATACAGAAATGGTGAGTGAGGGTGTGTTGTGTGTGTATGTATTTATATGTGCAAAGTCCGTGGATGAGAGTATATGCAAAATGGATTGTTCTCACCAGAAAAGTTTGAGTCCAGATAATTGTACCATCTTAAGTTGCAAGTGTCCTTTTAGGATAGTCTTTACTACAGACCTGAAAGACTAACAAGTCCAAAAAGGGCAAAAAAAATCCACACAAATGATTGTCCCTCGCACACGAAAACAAGAAAAAAGCTAGACCTTGGCAAACTCTTAAGGCTGATTTATACTTCTGAGTCAAACGTCGGCGTATGCTACGTCGCTGACGCATAGCCCTTCGCCGTGGCCATCGCCGTCACTGACGTGCACCTCTCAAAAAATGTAACTACACGTCGCAACGACGCGTAGCGTAAGCTCTGTGATTGGTCGGCTTGGTAGCGCTGACGAGTCTGGGCGGGACCGAGAGCCGCGCGAATGGCGCGAGCGATTGTTTACAAGTGTGAAGTCCCGTGAAGGAGCTCCGGATGAAAAGTTTTGTTTTGTGTTTACCTCATAGTTAAAGTTGTTGCACGTCCGCCGGTTCCTGACTCAAAATGAGCGAATTTGAGCCACTTTTACATCCAGGAAGTGTTCAGGAAGAGCAAAAAAGCAGAGAAGAAACTCGACACAGAGGAACATTAACACCTCACTGCGTTTCGGAAGTGTTAATGCAGACCGACAGAGACAGCGCGCAGAAGTATAAATGCACAGCCACGCGCGTTGCCTGCGCCGTGGGTTACGCCGGTCACTTGACGCAGAAGTATAAATCAGGCTTTACTCCATGTGCTCCCCTGACTTCTTCAGATGACACTGTGAGTAATGTCCAGGTGCCCTCTATCTCCCCCTTGTGGTGAGTATGTTATGTGAATGTGTATATATTGAAAAAGATCAACAGAACAGGAAATAGAACACCGATACATTCACCTCACCTCATCCCTTCAAAATAAAGAATCTAAAATAAAAGTCCATTACTCATTTGTATATTCGGAGCTTTAAGAACCGTGAGTATGCTTTACTGCCAGGCCTATTCACACATTTAGTAAACATAACAGAAAGCATACCTCAATTATGTGGCAGCGCTACAAATGACCTTCATTTTCAAGAAAATGTTTATGAAATGAGGGCTGCATAGTGGTGCAGTGGGTAGCACGTTCGTCTTACAACAAGAAGGTCACTGTTTCGAGCCTCGGCTGGTCAGTTGCGGTTTCTGTGTGGAGTTTGCATGTTCTCCCCTTGTTCACGTGGGTTTCCTCCGGGTGCTTCGGTTTTCCCCACAGTTTAAAGATATGTGGTATATATGGTATTCTCTTCTCTACCAGTGTCCCCTTCGCATTATACAATCTAATAGTGTGTGCTTCTCTCAAAATATTCTTTCAATTTAGGCGTCACTTTAAACCTTTTACCTCTGCATCGACTATGACCCCTATACATAATAATCATCTTTTTCTTCCTTCTTTCTCAGATTCTGTATTTTCTTTCTGGGAAAAGAAAGGTCTGAAATGCTTTGAAGATCTCTATATTAACAATGTGTTTGCAAATTTTTCAGAATTATCATCATTATTTAACCTGCTCCCCTCCCACTTATTTCGTTTTTTTCAGATTAGACATTGTGCTTCCTCTCTGTTCTCTGAGTTTCCCTCCCTGCCTACAAAGTCTCCATGGGAAGAGGTATTTGTAACTGAATGTTCATACCAGTGGGATTATTTCTAAAATATACGCAATTATTTTGTCAAAGGATAATTCTCATAACATTAAAGCTATCAGGGCCTGGGAAGAGGAACTTGACTTTGAGTTTGAAGTTGACAACTGGAGTGCAGTATTGGACAATGTGCGCACCTCCACTTCATGCGCTAGACTTAGTTTTATACAATTTAAAACGATACACAGAGCTCATCTCTCAAAGGCCAAACTTTCTAAAATGTATCCCAATGTTTCTGATATGTGCGATAAGTGTAAACTATCACCTTTTAACCTTAGTCATATGTTTGTATTTTGTCCCAAGTTGCAGAATTACTGGATTACTTTCTTTAAAATTGTTTCAGATATTCTGGGGGTCAAGTTAGCTCTTTGCCCTTTAATCGCGATCTTTGGTGTTCCCTCTCAGTGTCAACCTTTAAACCGGAGACACGCTGACATTTTGGCTTTTGCATCTCTTCTCGCTACATTTACATTTACATTTAGTCATTTAGCTGACGCTTTTATACAAAGTAACTCACGAATGAGGACAAGGAAGCAATTTACACAACTATAAGAGCAACAATGAATAAGTGCTATAGGCAAGTTTCAGGTCTGTACAGTCTAAGAAGGAAAGTATTAGTAATATTTTAGTAATTTTGTAAAAAAAAAAATTTTTTGTAATTTATTTTTTTTTTTTTTGAGTACAGTTAGTGGTATATCCAGAGAGGCAATTGCAGATTAGGAAGTGTAGTGGAGACTTAATAGTTGAGTTTTTAGTCGTTTCTTGAAAACAGAGAGTGACTCTGCCATTCTGATGCAATTAAGGAGTTCATTCCATCAACTGGGCAGATTGAGCATTCGCGAAAGTGATTTCTTCCCTCTTTGGGATGGAACCACGAGGCGACGTTCATTCACAGAACGCAAGTTTCTGGAGGGCACATAAATCTGCAGCAGTGAGAGCAGATAAGAAGGAGCAAAGCCAGAAGTCACTTCGTAGGCAAACATCAGAGCTTTGAATTTGATGCGAGCAGCAACTGGCAGCCAGTGCAAACGGATGAGCAGCGGAGTGACATGTGCTCTTTTAGGTTCATTAAAGACCACTCGTGCTGCTGCGTTCTGAAGCTGTTGAAGAGGCTTGATAGAGTTAGCTGGGAGCCTGGCTAGTAGAGAGTTGCAGTAATCCAGTTTGGAGAGAACAAGAGCTTGAACAAGGAGTTGAGCTGCATGTTCAGATAGGAAGGGTCGAATCTTTCTGATGTCGCTAGGCGCAGAATACTTTTGTCTTGGACCTCCCCACAACCCCCCTCTATTACATTATGGCTCAAAGATTTGGTCTTCTTTTTAAAACTTGAGAAAATTAAATACAATATCAGAGGTAGGGGAGAAAATTATTTTGAAAAATGCCAACAATTTATTGCATTCTTTAATCACTTAAAATCCTTAGATGTGGATTGAGTGAAGGTACATGTGTATGTATGTATATGGTTTGTTAATGTAATTTTTTTTCTGTAATTGTATTTTATTTTATTTATTATTATTTTGTTTATTTTATTTATTCATTCCACTGTGGCAACCCCAGATTAATAAAGGGACTTGGCCGAAAAGAAAATGAATGAATGTTTATGAAATGTTTCAACTTGTTGATTTATCATCCTTAACAGCACCCTATCTTTTGATTCTCACATCAATAACATCACCCGGTCCGCTTACTCCCACCTTCGCAACATTAACCATCTTCGCCCTTCTCTTACCCCTCATGCCACTGCTGTTCTCGTTCATAGCCTTGTCATGTCTCGTTTAGATTACTGCAACTCTCTTCTTTTTGGTCTCACTCATAATCTATCCGTTAGCTTCAGTTGGTCCAGAACTCAGCTGCCCGGATCATCACCAGAACTCCTTCTTCTCATCACATCACCCCTGTCCTGCAGCAGCTTCATTGGTTACCTGTTCATTTTCAAATTGACTTTAAAATCTTGATGTTAACATTCAAAGCCATCCACAATCTCTGCCCTCATCCACATTTCTGCTGCTCCTCGCACCCTGCAATCTTCTTCCTCCACTTGTCTGTTCCCTCTTCTCGTCTTTTGACTGTAGGCAACAGAGCATTTAGCCGCTCTGTTCCACGGTCTTGGAACTCATTACCACCTGCCATCAGAAACATTGGGCTCTATTTTGACGGCCCATGCGTAGAGCGCAAAACGCAGGGCACAAACGCTTTCAGGGCGTGTCAGAACACATTTTTGCTAATTTAAGGACGGGAAAATCTGCTTTGCGCCGTGGCGCATGGTCTAAAAGGGTTGAGTTTATTTTCTTAATGACTTATAGGTGTGTTTTGAGAATAAACCAATCAGAGTCTCATCTCCCATTCCCTTTAAGAGCCAGCTGCGTCGCGCCAAGAGCCCATTCGCTATTTACAGGACGTAAAGTAAGTCTAAGTGGAAAAAATTTGCATTTCACAAGCAAACAGTTAACAGTTTTTTTCTACAGAAAACTGTTAAACAGAGTATCTACTGCGTGAGAATGAGAGATAATGGATCTACTTTCACATTCGCTTTTGGATAGGGAAACCTTAACGCACAGACATCAATTAGTCTATAAATAAATAATTTTGTTTGTTAAGCGCAAATATTCGTTTCAAAACTGTTTCTAAATTCAGTTCTAATTTCCAGCAAACGAATAAATGAACAATAATAACAAAGTGTGCTCAAAATACTGAGTTATATCCTAAAACACATGCTGTGCCCCATATGGTCTAAAACCTGACAGGTGGGCAAATCTAAGCTTGTTTTTAATAAAACAAATATAAATATGGATATAATAAATAATACTGCTAATAATAATAATAATAACATTATACAAAAGCAAATTGTTATGAATGAACTGAAAAAGCCTCCTGAGATGAATGATTTATGTAGGCTAGAAAATAATATGTTTTGTAATATTTTAATCCTTTATATTTATATTCTATATCTATCCTTATTATATCCTATATATATCCTTAATATTTAAATTTTTTCATATGTAAAGATAGCAGTGCGTAAGCGAGGCGCAACTCTGCGCCGGAGTTTAGACCGGGTTTGTTTTGATCTA